CTGAAATATGAGTTAAGTCCATACCCACCATCTCTGTTTGAGGACAATAAGATTATGAGAAAGGCAGACAAACCTCAACTAGCTGAAGCTGTCAATGATCACTGTAAAAAGATAGCAAGATGTGATCACACATCAGATGTCATCCACAGACTGAAAAGTATGTGTGCTAGATGGAGAGCTCCTTGCTACACAAGCTAAAGTGGAACAACGGTGACACTTACGGGAAAATTGCCAAGGGATATGCAGATTTCACATCTAAGCACTATGGGATGGCAACTATTGTGTTTGATGGGTATGGGACTGGCCCTTCAATAAAGGATAACACACACCAACGGCGGGGACAAAAAAACAGCTTCCGAACTGTTAACTTTACACATGAAACTGAATTTGAAGGGAAGAAGGAAGAGTTCCTATCCATAGACAAAAACAAACAAGGTTTAATCAACTTGATAAGTGAGAAACTTAAGGAAGCTGGATGTAAAGTCATTCAGGCACATGGAGATGCAGATGTTGACATCGCAAAGACTGCAGTAAACAGTGCAAAGACCCATTCTACCACACTGATCGGAGAGGACACTGACTTATTGATTCTTCTGCTGCATTACTGTATAGCAGGTGGGAATTCACTCTATTTCAGATCAGACAATTCTTGAAAAGTCAGTCTGAAAGTGTACAACATCAACTGGATGAAGCAACTTTTTGGCAATAAGCTGTGCACCCAACTGTTATTTCTGCACTCATTTACAGGCTGTGATTCCACGTCTCGGATTTATGGCATTGGGAAAAAATCAGTGTTCCAGAAACTTGTCAAAGGTGATCAAGCCCTCCAGCTATGTGCAGATACTTTCACTGCAAAAGAGGTCGAACAAGCAAAGATAGAGGAAACCGGTTGCCAGGCCATGGTGATCCTATTTGGTGGAGAGAGAAGATGTTCCCTGGCTGCATTGCGTTACAGTGTATTCGCAAAGAAGGTTGTGGCTGCTAAATCTTTTGTTACACCTGAACGCCTTCCCCCAACGGAATCAGCCACCAAGTTTCACTGTCTGCGTGCCTATTATCAGGTCATGGTTTGGATGGACATGCAAACTAACCTCGATCCATTGCAATGGGGTTGGAAACTTGAAGACAACCACTTTGTTCCCATCATAACATCACTAAATGCTGCTCCAGACAGTCTTATCAAGATCATACATTGTAACTGCACAACTAGTTGCAGTTCCGCACGCTGCAGCTGCAGAAAGAATGGACTTCAATGCACGACTGCCTGTGGACTGTGCCAAGTGACATGTTGTGACAATCCAGTCAATGAACCCTCAAAAGAAGAAGTGGAGGATAGTGATGAGGACAATATTGACAATGATGAGGACAAAGATGAGGACTAAATAGTGTCCTTGGTAAAAACCTTGTTATGGAACATTATCCTAAAATTGTTTTTTTAGATGATATTCTTCTACTTAAAATGTATACCAATGGCAACATTTTCAAATTTCCACAAGTCAAATCCTAAATATTTTGTCACCAGTTGTTTGGTCATCCTTCAAAACCATAGATAACAACAAAAAACTATGCTTTGGACTCAATTATTGACAAAGGTATAGTGATTCTGGAGATTGGAAAGTCCCAACGGCGGCCATCTTGGAAATACCCTTTTTTACCCATAATGCACGGTTGGATTTTGGTAGACTTTTTTTCTGTTATAAAGCATACCTGGTAGGAGACAACGTCACCAAGAAACCTTTTGTTATAATTTTTTTAAGGTTACTTGCCATATTCACCCGACTAATAAGAAATTGACATATTTAGCGTAGAACACACTATTTTTAACCTTTACACGGGTTTTAGACTATGAAACGTAGGTATAACTGGAACATGGACGTAGTTCCTGGCAAGCGTCTATTCAATGGTTTAATTTCATATAAACGGGTTAGTGAACAGCGACTTCATTTCATTAATAAGTAAACTTGAATATACTACTTTAGAACGTGATTTAATGAAAAAAGAATAGAAATATTACATGTAAATTCACATATATTTAAGAGAAATGTTCTTGGTAATGGAATCTTCTTTCATATCGTTTTATGGACGGTAGAAATTATGTCTATGATAAAATAATGACCAACGTTTAACGATTTACACTCACTCTTAATAACGGGGTGCAAATACTGTCACTGCCGTGCTTCTCTAGCAAATGTTATGATCGGTCTGATTGGATAATGGTACAATCATGCATAAACAGTCCAATAACCCCCAAAGTATATTTCTTACAGGCTAACAGCTAAGGTAATAGGTCAATTTGAAATGTTCGTTACTGTCGCCGGTAGCAAAACCTTACTTTGCAGTGTAACTTCACACTTTGGTATACAAATACCTGGATATTAGTACTTTAGGACATTGATATTGATCAAAAGTTTCATTTTCTGCAAATTGTTGAGCGAATGCATTCTTTTTAGATCAATGAATTTGGTCTAATGCCACGTCGCCAGTTTTGAGGAAATGTCCGTGACTAATTTTCAGCTTGACATATACATGTGTAGAACCAAGTAGATCTATACTCTTACCCATTCTCTTTGAATGAATACAATTTATCTTTACATTAATGGTACTTGTCCTTATTTGGGGCTTAGAATATCTATCTGCATAACATATCACAAAATATTCCATGCGTAGAATTAAGAGTGAAATGTCCGTTACCACCGCCAAATAAGGGAATAGTGCTCTTTTTCACATAGTTTAAGTTACATTTAGAACAGGAAGTATGGCAGATAGGAAAAGAAAACAATATTCAAAGCTTATGTGGGTAATGGTAACTTACTGCTTGATTTGCCAGACTATGTAATCTCCGTTACTGAAATGTTCGTTATCAGGGTATTCGAAACCACATAGCTTATGAAGTTCTGATACTATTTTTCAAATACCACGTGACTCCTATCCCATCTGGGAAGAGGATGTATACAATCACCAAAGATTTAAAATTGAGATTCATCAGAAATAGGAAGTAACGATGTAACGAACATTTCATTGCAATCGGTCTGAACCAGAGAGTTAGCCCCATGGTGTTCCAGAATATATCTCGGCCCAGGACGAGGAAATGGTGTGACAGCTGCTCGCCATATTGACCAAGTCATAAGACCCCAGGTTATACCAGATATTGGACGTAACACTACAATGACCTCCACTTAGTCCGGATTTACGTCCAATAGAACACCTTTGGGACGAGGTTCAAAGAAGACTGAATGACCTCCAACCAATGCCGACAACTGCGGCTGGACTCGATCACGTATTTCGCAGAGTATATGGTCCAAGTGCCTATGGCACAGGGGCGGATACAGCATTTTGAGAAAAGGAGTGGGGGTGGGAGGGTGTGTGTGCACACTTCCTTTTCACCCGTTTTCACGGGTCATATAATAGACTTTCAGGACAAAATGAGGGGTGCGCACCCCTGCAAAAACACACACACCCACCCCACCCCCTGGATCCGCCTATGCTATGGCCTTCATCAACCGGCTAATTCATTCCATGTACAGACGATGCAACGCCGTCATCGATGCCCATGGAGGCCACACACGAAACTGACTTAAAGGTATCCTAATGGTACCACTTATTGGTGATTGTGTTTGTGTGAACTCTAAATGTGATTCTTGAAAATGTGTTAAATATAATTAGGGATGCTACGATACGTCGATACCTCGATACATTTTCAAAGACGATACAATTATAGATACATTCAAAACTGTATCGATATTTAGTTTGAAAGTATCGGTTTAAATCGTTTATGTATCGTTTACATTTTGCAATTGTATCATGTTTTTTTATGTTATGAGAGTTATAAATGATTATTTTTCATGCACAAAGATGGGATATTAGAACTTTTTAATCTCTGAGAATAATAAATGTTGATCTTTTATTGACAATTATAAACTGTGAAAATGTAACTAAATTTACGCAATAATGCTGCGAAAATAAGTATCGTGATACGTATCGAGTCATGAAGCTTATGTATCGTGACATTCCTAAATATAATTGTCAAGTTTGAACTCAATCCGCCGTTTTGATTGTTAATTAGAGCGAATTAAAGTGTGTGCATTAAGAGGTGAAATGGGGTTTAACGTCTTACTTGAGAATATTTCACTCATATGACGACGTGCATGCATGTGTATGTGCGGCTGCTTGTACTAGCCCAGACTTATGCTGGTTTTATAGTGCTAGCCCGCTGAGATACCATGCCGCAGTGAAGCATGAATACCCCACTCAGACACATTATACTGACTCCGAGCCGACCAGTCCTTCTTGTACCTATAAATGCCGAGCGCCAGGCAGGGACCAGTCCTTCTCGCACCTATAAATGCCGAGCGCCAGGCAGGGACCAACAAATACCACATTTTAACGTCTTTTGACGGGCCGGGGATCGAACCCGCGACCTTCCGCTCTCCGGGCGGACGCCCTAACCACTACACCACGGAGGCGGTCCGTGTGCATGAAGAAACCTCTTTCAATGTGGCGTTTCTTTTGCCGTTCAGTATATATATAATTAAATATGTCTATATATCTTTGGTCAAACCGTACAGTAATATTCTGGTAGGTTCATACAAAAGGGACAGTCTTTCTCACTTTTCAGATCTTTTTAAAATGTGCGCCAGAAAAAACCCATCAGCATTCAGAGGGTTGAACACGCCCGTGTCATCCTATGTTGTGATACGTACTGTACTATATATACCAGCTTGCCCATAAAGGGACCGACTATACAATCACTATATTAGTTGAATATCTCTCTCTTTCGATCGATCGACATAATATGTACGTCGATTCGTGATCATTAATCCATATTAAAAGACGACGGAACTCATTTGGGGACAAGATCGTGATCGGCAGCATATACTTCCTAATCTTCAAGGTCGTGGGTTCTATGCGTCGGTGACTTGAATGGGGTAGGGAAGCTAACCTGCTTGTTCATTGGCTACATCAAACACACCTCCAGTGTTGCGCATGCGTAAACCCCTGTTACATGCACGTTGCTGTACGATGTCAACAACTTAGAGGCCAGACTCTGTCGGTAATTGCTACAAGCGCACTGTTTACTAACCGCTCAACACAGCCATGAATAATATGATTAAGAAATGTCTTGGAGCTGTAGGAAAACCATTGACATTGGCGTGTCAGAAATACGCTAATCAATTCTCCATTGCCACCTTCTTCACTTCGGCTAACAGGTGCCTTTTGTGTGGAGATCGTCTCAACCCTGATCGTTCATGTCAGGACACACCTGTCAACAAGAATTGCCGGAGTATGTCAGCATTCGCAGGAAAACAGCAAGAATTCTTATTTAGACAGGTAAGTTGTTGTGGAAGACTTTCTTTCATTACATGACTGACACTCGTACACTAACGTCTGGCTAATACAACTGACCCAAAGAGACTACAATATATAATATTTACAGTAAACTTTTCCTTACTGCAGAAGGTAATATTTGTCTCTTCGTAGTTTTCATGATGTTGTTTTCACATGATTCACTACTGAAGTAGTCGAAATGTGAAACCTGAAAGAGATATAAGGGAGCTGTTGAGATTTTGTACCCAAACCAACATATATATATGACTTTGTTACCCATATTGAATCACTGGGGTGGTGACATGGCAACAAAGGATGTTATGTTTCTGATTTAACAACCCTGAATGGAATATGTCTCATTATATTCCTTAAATGCTGCAACATAAACAACTATTAGGAGAAGAGATTTGACTAACAAGCTAGCCAGGTAGCTATTAACAAAGCAGACAGCTATTAGGAGAATTCATATTGAAAGACATAAAAATGAGTTTATAAAAATATTAGCATTTGGCAAGCTGTTGTATCTGTTGCATTTACTAAGACTTTAAAAGAAGATCTCACATTCTGTAATGTACTTACTAATGTATCTTGAAGACAAAGGTCGCCATCTTGTGAGGGACACTTTAAGTTAATAACTACATAAATCATGACTAATGCAGATCAATCAACATTTGTATTTGTTTTGTTTAATCGTGCAGTCATCAATTAAATTACATAATAAGTGTATGGTAATTGTATTTGAACCTAGTGGTAGGCACCATCACCATTTTATCACCATGACCTAATTTTGAAGATAGTTATGAATTTGATGTGGCACCAAATTAATGTAAGTATCAACCCTTTGCTTAAAATACATCATGAAATTAGAGTGAATAGCACTACATGTATTTCAGCACTATAATCCGAACCTATCTGTAAACAATAACACAAAAAGTGTAGACTTAGATTTCAGTGCTGTAGTATGGGGAGATAGCAGTTCAGTTGCATAATATCATATGGAACCTGCACAACCTTAACATCACCAGCTTAATGTGTGATGTAACTTCCAGGTGATCAAAAGATCAGGGTGATATTCAGTTGAGATAGGACTGATCTCCTGTGAAGATTGTACAGGTTTCAAGTGTTGTGACACAAGATAGAGCAATAATCCTTGAATGAGCAGTCTCATGTGTGTAACTTCATGGCTGCTTATGTAGTACAGGACATTTTCACCCTATGACATGTGTGGGCAGTGATTGGCTGGTAATTATGAGAAGATTTGACACGGTTATAAAAAAAACGATACCACCATACTTAATCTTTCTGTGTAAACAAAGTGCTGAAACTTGCAGAGTTTGGTGAGACCACGGACTAATTCTAGTGCTCTTTATGTAATAAAATTACCTTGTTTATGTGAGCTCTGGTATGGATGTCTCCTCTCCTGTAAAACCTACATATACATGTACTTCAAAATGTCATGATTTATAGTACATAGACTCAGTTTAGACAAATATGTTCAGCACTATATTACTAATATACTATTTTCACTCAGTTGTTCTGCTCAAGTATTGTGATTTTTCAAACATTGAATTCTGAAAACCAAACATCCATCAATAAAGGTCCTTCGGTTGCAAGCTTGTAAATTTGCATACCAGGAACAGATTGTGCATGTCTGTGGTAGTGTCATGCATATCCTAAGGAAACAGGTCATTCAACCCATCAAAAAATTATCTTGTTCATTTAAATCCTTCACATTCTTTGGGGGGTGTTGGGGTAGCCTAGATGTTGAAGCGTAAACACAACATGCCGAAGACCCTGGTTCAATTCCCCACATGGGTACAATGTGTGAAGCCAATTTCTGGTATCCCCTGCCGTGATATTGCTGGAATATTGCTAAAAGTGGCTTAAAACTAAACTCGCTCACTCACTTTCATGAACTTTTTCTAAATGGACCGGAGGAATTTCTCAGCACTGACCTGCCTCATACTAGTATTCTCTGCCAACAGGAATTTATTCTCTTTCTCCCCCCCTTCATAATCAAATTTCCACACCAAGTAGGATGTATACCTGAGTTTGGAGTATGCTTGTCTGAGGCAAGGTTTTCTTTGTTGCAGCTGCTTGACTACAAGTCATTTACTTACACATACTTGCTAGCAGACACTACAACTAATGAGGCGGTTATAATCGACCCTGTCATCGAAATGGTGGAAAGAGACTGCCAAATTGTCAAAGACCTCGGCCTCAATCTGGTTTATGCAGGTAAGATGTTTTCTTAGATCTTGTATATATGGGGCAAGCAGTTGTCAGAGCTCTTGTGAATACAGTCCTGCAGTTATCATGTTTAAAGTGGTGGTGGGCGGAGAAAGTATTCAAAAACGTTGACTTGTTATGTTGTCCAGATGGGAATGTGCTCCAGATGGTTACTCAGACAATATCAGATATTGGATGTAATTCAGGAAGACGTAATTGAACTGATTAACAGAACACATTATGCCTGTGCAGTATCCACTATCCCACAATTATATTTCAAACAAGTGACTTTGTTGAAACTAGTCTTGACTGACAGTCTAGTCCCAGGTTAATGCAGACCATGTGTTGTTTTTCAGTGAACACCCATGTACATGGTAACCTTGTGTTGTTTCAGTGAACACCCATCCACATGGTAACCTTGTGTTGTTTCAGTGAACACCCATCCACATGGTAACCTTGTGTTGTTTCAGTGAACACCCATCCACATGGTAACCTTGTGTTGTTTCAGTGAACACCCATGTACATGCAGACCATATAACGGGGACAGGGGAGATCAAGAAACGACTGCCAACATGTAAGAGCATGATAGCACAGATCAGCAAAGCTGTTGCTGATATCAAGCTGAAGGAGGGAGATGTCATAAAGTTTGGTTCCCATCAGTTGGAGGTCCGCAGCACACCCGGACACACTGATGGTGAGATGACTAGGTAGCTATACTCCAGTGAGCATGCCATATACTACCCCTGTATACAGCAGTTCAAAGTGTTCCATAAAACCCTGACAGTGTTCTGTAAAACCATGACAGTGTTCCATCATACCCTTACAGTGTTCTGTACAACCATAACAGTGTTCTGTAAACCATGACAGTGTTCTGTACAACCATAACAGTGTTCTGTAAACCATGACAGTGTTCCATCATACCCTAACAGTGTTCCATCATACCCTTACAGTGTTCTGTAAAACCATGAGTGTTCTGTAAAACTCTGACAGTGTTCCATCATACCTTTACAGTGTTCCGTCATACTCTAACAGTATTCTGTAAAACCATGACAGTGTTCGCTCATACCCTGACAGTGTTCTATCATACCCAAACAGTGTTCTGTCATACCCTGACAGTGTTTCATCATACCAAACAGTGTTCTGTCATACCCGGACAGTGTTCCATCATACCCAAACAGTGTTCTGTCATACCCTGACAGTGTTCCATCATACCCAAACAGTGTTCTGTCATACCCTGACAGTGTTCCATCATACCCTAACAGTGTTTTGCAAAACCATGACAGTGTTCTGTCATACCATGACTGTCTTTCATCATACACTGTGTTCTGTCATACCCTGACAGTGGTCCGTATAACCCTGACAGTGTTCTGTATAACCCTTAGTTCTGTCATACCCTGACAGAGTTCCGCATAACCCTGACTGACCCATCATACTCTGACAGTGTTCTGTAGTTCTTTCACACCCTGACAGTGTTCCAAATAACCCTGTGTTCCGTCATACCCTGACAGTGTTCTGTATAACCCTAACCTAGTTCTGTCATACCCTGACAGTGTTCCGTCATATCCTGACAGTGTTCCGTATAACCCTGTGTTCCGTCATACCCTTACTGTGTTCCATCATATCCTGACAGTGTTCGCGCATAACCCTGTGTTCCGTCATACCCTAACTATGTTCCATCATACTGACAGTGTTCCATAACCCTGTGTTCCGTCATACCCTAACTATGTTCCATCATACTCTGACAGTGTTCTGTATAACCCTAACCTAGTTCTGTCATACCCTGACAGTGTTCTGTAGTTCTGTCATACCCTGACAGTGTTCCGTCATATCCTGACAGTGTTCCGTATAACCCTGTGTTCCGTCATACCCTAACTGTGTTCCATCATACCCTGACAGTGTTCCGTCATACCCTGACAGTGTTCTGTATAACCCTGTGTTCCGTCATACCCTAACTGTGTTCCATCATACTCTGACAGTGTTCCGTATAACCCTGTGTTCCGTCATACCCTGACAGTGTTCCGTATAACCCTGTGTTCCGTCATACCCTAACTGTGTTCCATCATACTCTGACAGTGTTCTGTATAACCCTGTGTTCTGTCATAACCTAACTGTGTTCCATCATACTCTGACAGTGTTCTGTATAACCCTAACCTAGTTCTGTCATACCCTGACAGTGTTCCATCATACCCTGACAGTGTTCCGTCATATCCTGACAGTGTTCCGTATAACCCTGTGTTCCATCATAACCTAACTGTGTTCCATCATATCCTGTCAGTGACAGTGTTCTGTAAAACCCTGATAGTCATATGAGCGAAATATTCTGAAGCACGACGTTAAACCCAATTTCACCTCATCTCACCTGTAAAACCCTGACCGTTGTCCATCATACCCTGACAGTGTTCCGTCATACCCTGTGTTCCGTCATACTCAACAGTGTTCTGTCACACCCTGAATGTTATACGCTGACAATGTCAACTTCAGGATTGCCTTGTCCAGATTCACTTGTTTTATAAAGGCCGCTGGGATGCAGCTGGAATATTGCTGACTGCAGCATCAAACAACAATTCTAGCACGACATGGTGTGATACTCGATTCTGATTTGCTGGGAGCTCATCAAAACCGTACTTAAATGGCAGTTTAAGACCGCTAATTAAAGTGACTGATTCACCGCGTATGAATACAACGAACTCGTTGACCCACACGTCCTGACCTGACCGCTTCCATCCCGGCCGTAATGCCCAGTCCTTCCACTTCCACTATCCATGTATCCCTCATAAAACGTGGCATGTCAGGCCTTTTCCAAATTGGGAATAGTAGGGTGGTTATGAACAATTATTTCCGTGAATAAAGTTAGCGGCGACTAAACTTAGCGAGTTCACGGCTTGAATTGGGGCGAGTCGATTGTCATACAGTAGTGGAGATCAATAATTCGCTTTAGAAAAATCAAATAATTGTACTTGCTCACAGTATAACCTGTATTTTTTTTTATTGTGTATGCTACTTCTTACAAATACAAGCATACTGGTGTTGAAAATGTCTTATTTCGTTAATTACACAACCTGTCCCTCAATGGAACGATTCCAAGCAATTTCCAGGAAAAAGGCCCCTTCACGCCTTGTGTTCTTGCGCACCAAACAGTTCGGTTTTAGTCGTGCTAGAATGAAGATAAAGCTACTCGTTTTTCAATTTTGGCGGTCCTTTATGGTTGATTTAAGACCGCTAAATGTAATTTAAAAGCCGAATGCTGTTTGCAGGATGCTTGACCTACGTGTGGCAGCAGCAAGGCCTGGCCTTTACAGGAGATGCTATACTCGTCAGAGGATGTGGGCGCACAGACTTCCAGCAAGGTCATATTGTCACATCTCATGTGTCAGTAACCCTATTCCAATGATCATGATGATAGTGTGTTAGAAGTATTTGCAGAAGACTGTTGTACTGTTGATTTTGTCTTCTTGGTGCTGAAAGTATCTGGATTCCAGTTTCCACAGAATGTATTGGTATACAAGAATGTGTACGTATAAAAGTATGTGTACGGAAATATACATGCATAAAAGAATGTGTGTGCGTACAAGACTGTATACACAAATGAACATATTTAATCCTAAAGTATGTGTATCTGGATTCCAGTTTCCACAGAATGTATTGGTATACAAGAATGTGTACGTATAAAAGTATGTGTACGGAAATATACATGCATAAAAGAATGTGTGTGCGTACAAGACTGTATACACAAATGAACATATTTAATCCTTGTGTGATATCCAAGTTGATTTGTTTATGAAGTGTTATGCTTATGTTTTGTGTTGCAGGGGATCCAAGCGTGTTGTATGATTCAGTACACAACAAGATCTTTTCACTTCCGGACAATTTCCGTCTCTTCCCAGCACATGACTATACAGGTGAGGATTGCTAGCAGTCTACCCAGCACATGACTATACAGGTGAGGATTGCTAGCAGCCTACCCAGCGCATGACTATACAGGTGAGGATTGCTAGCAGCCTACCCAGCACATGACTATACAGGTGAGGATTGCTAGCAGCCTACCCAGCACATGACTTTACAGGTGAGGATTGCTAGCAGTCTGCCCAGCAGCCTCAGCACCCAGCACATGACTATACAGGTGAGGATTGCTAGCAGCCTACCCAGCACATGACTATACAGGTGAGGATTGCTAGCAGCCTACCCAGCACATGACTATACAGGTGAGGATTGCTAGCAGCCTACCCAGCACATGACTATACAGGTGAGGATTGCTAGCAGCCTACCCAGCACATGACTATACAGGTGAGGATTGCTAGCAGCCTACCCAGCACATGACTATACAGGTGAGGGATGGTAGCAAGAATGTAACAGCTTGTTACATTGGTGGCCAAGCTTTGATAGCGACATTGGCACCTAGTTTTTATTTAGTGGCCAGGCTTTGAAAGCGACATTGGCATCTCAGTGGCAGATCCCCTGAACCCCCACCTTTGAAAATTTCTGGATCTGCATATGTATCTGGTTACATTTGGTGGCCAGGCTTTGATAGCGACATTGGCATGTACAGGATGTTTATCATGTAGCAATGTGTCATCTGTAGCACCATTGCACACACTGGTGCGGCACACAAGACCTTGCAATGTAATCAGATTAACTTTCATGGTACTTTTCAGGAAGAAATGTTCTTTATTATGCTACACACTCCTTCTAAATGAGCTCAAATATTTATCATGAAGACAACAACATCTTAAATGTTTATGACTGTTAAGAGAAACTGTCGGTTGCTGTGGTATTCCAGAGCAGATCATAAGGGACAAAGGCCCACACTTCATGAAAACAACCTCCCCAAGTCTAATGGTAATGAGAATATCATCTCTGCACCTTCCTTCTCAGATGTGCAGAACATTTTGTACAGAGACTATTTTCCGAGTCTCAACAGTGTATATTTGGCTATTTGGTGCCAGTAACAGAAACAGACTTGTCAAGTGTACAAAGTCTGATGCCAGAATCACAGTGTAGTTCAGAAACAAATTGATCATTTGTTGAAAAATTCAACAGAGTCTGAGATGGTGTACAGAAATGTTGTTCTAGAGGAGTTAGCAGTTTGTTGTGCCTGGTGTTGATATTGGGCCTAGCACAGTAGGGATTGGCTTGAGAGCAAGAAGTGGTAATAGTGCTATGTTACCACTTGTTTGAATGGAATGTAGGCAGATGGGAGCTTGCATTGTTTTCATGGTGGTGTATCAGTAACTATGACAACATGTCATTAGTCAGCTGTTATTATTATAATCTATTTATATAGCACTGAGTTCCAGCTAGGCTGCTCACAGGCGCTTTTGCTTTCCCTCGATCATAGGATGTCAATCTCAACGGCACTTCGTATTATCAATCTCAACTCACTGGGGATCATACAACTCTTGCAGCCACTAGGCGCACCAAGTTAATGTGGCTTTTCCATCCTTACGAGGTACCCATTGACAGCTGGGTGGACTGGAATATATAGTCACAGTACTTTGTCCAAGTTTACAGCACGTTGTTGTACCCACAACTATGTGTTTGCACGTATTCATGTGGCCACCATCTGGTCATATACCAACAGATTCGTGGGTTCTTTTACTGTGTACTGTACACTAGGGGTTGTGACAACACTGAAAGAGTCTGCACACAAAGTTGACTCCAAGGTTTTTACACAGGTGGGCTCGATCCCAGCACCTCAATCTCGCTGGATCACTAGCCTGGCACCTGAGACAGCTCACCTACCACGCCCCCTACATGTAACTGACATGCTTGATGTCCAATACTGTTTTTGAAGTATTGTTCAAATCAGTAGCATGTGGCAATATTGTTACAGTAAGAAACATAGTGAGACAGAATGTAGCTTTACAGATTCGGGGGAGAAATATTGTGTGTGTGAGTACACATAGTAGCCCCCTGCTATGAAAGTTTGGCCAGTCAGGGACTTCTATAACTTGTCCGCACCTTGTCATTTGTCTGCCCCCTTACAAGTCAACTCCAGGTTTGTCACTCAAACAGCACTATTAGTGAAATATTTGGTTAACTTCCACTGTGCTGCTAATGTTGCAGGTCAGACAATGACTACAGTTGCAGAGGAGCGCAAGTACAACCCTCGCCTCACAAAACCTAAGGAACATTTCATCAAAATAATGGAGGACCTCAAGCTGCCCTACCCTAAACAGATAGGTGAGAATCAGTTAACAACAGTGTCTCTCTATGTGAACAGACAGGTGAGCGTCAGGCCTCTGCAGTGTCTCTCTATATGAACAGACAGGTGAGTGTCAGGCCTCTGCAGTGTCTCTCTATGTGAACAGACAGGTGAGTGTCAGGCCTCTGCAGTGTCTCTCTATATGAACAGACAGGTGAGTGTCAGGCCTCTGCAGTGTCTCTCTATATGAACAGACAGGTGAGTGTCAGGCCTCTGCAGTGTCTCTCTATGTGAACAGACAGGTGAGTGTCAGGCCTCTGCAGTGTCTCTCTATGTGAACAGACAGGTGAGTGTCAGGCCTCTGCAGTGTCTCTCTATATGAACAGACAGGTGAGTGTCAGGCCTCTGCAGTGTCTCTCTATATGAACAGACAGGTGAGTGTCTGGCCTCTGCAGTGTCTCTCTATATGAACAGACAGGTGAGTGTCAGGCCTCTGCAGTGTCTATCTATCTGAACAGACAGGTGAGTGTCTGGCCTCTGCAGTGTCTCTCTATATGAACAGACAGGTGAGTGTCAGGCCTCTGCAGTGTCTATCTATCTGAACAGACAGGTGAGTGTCAGGCCTCTGCAGTGTCTCTCTATATGAACAGACAGGTGAGTGTCAGGCCTCTGCAGTGTCTCTCTATATGAACAGACAGGTGAGTGTCAGGTCCTGTAGTGTCTCTGTCTGTTCAGCTTGACACTCAACTGTCTGTTCAGATAGGTGAGTGTCAGGTCCTGTAGCGTCTCTCTATCTGAGCAGACAGTTGAGTGTCAGGTCTTTCAGTGTCTACCCACAAATAGGCTTGAGACTGCAGAGGAAAGTAACTTCATGAACTAATTATATATTTGCCTGTGGTTGGAAGTAAATTGAGTGCTTGCTGTTGCAGATCGAGCATTACCAGCTAACATGGTGTGTGGGGTGTTTTGATCGGATCCTCACACAATGTCCACCTGAACCAGTGTCTCGCATCTCTCACAGCCTTCTCTTGCCTGGGGTCTACTTTTCCATGCTGCAAAGCCTGGAGTTTAACACAAATCCTAATCTTTTTCTTTGCTGCGCTGAGCAACAAACAACAATAGTGGTCCATTTGATGATATCTTTCAATGCCAGATATGCTCATCTGTGAACCTTTCAAGGTCATGATATCTCATGACACAACTCAGAATGAATTATCTCACAAATAGAATCTTTCCAGATTTTTAATCAAAATAATGATATGTAGCTACTCAATTGAAAGTTTGATTTATTATTATTTTTCACAATTAATTATTAAATTTTTAATCAAAATTTGAAAAATTGAGGCAGTAGTCACAATGTTTTCTCTGCATCTATGTATATTTTGATTGACACATTTACTTGTTATAGTTTTTAATGTATTCGACCCCTTATTTGTATTGAAATTATAACTTTATCCCATTCATCTCTAATGTATTAAAAAAAATAAAACCTATGCAAAAATTAGCCAATATTCCCTGGAATATGCAAACAAGCTTTGAAGTTTGTCTGACTGGACCAAAATGAAACAATATTCTTAGTTTGGTGATCGGGTTGAAATCCTTGGTTTAGGTCGGATGATGGAGGTAGAAGACATTAGAGAGACAACCTCCCACCGACTACTCCTGTGAAAGTTATGGGTGTCCCATCTCGTGTAATGTGTATTATTGGATAGTCAAGTTATGCAATATTTTGGTCATTTCATTCCATATCAAGTCCATCAGACCATATTTCAGTCTTGTGACTTTGTACTGCTGACATATTAAACATGGGAGTCAAATGAAGTTTGTAGTTTCTGAAATTATTTGTATGCTCGGATATAGTCAGGTTGGCTTTTCTCAGAGCAATACCTTTGGGACCTCTTCCACATCATCAGTTTAATTTTTTCATATTTGAGACTCTCAAGTATAGTAGCCGACTAAAAGAAAAATATTACTGTTTTCTGGACCATGGATCGATATTTTGCTGTCACACAAAGCAGGTGAAAACAAAAGTCAACAATACCTGTGATTTTGTTGAAAGTAAATGTATGAAACTTTTTGCCATGGAAACTTGTCTATGCGTCGAATTTGGTGACAATATAATCTATAGTTTACTGGATCTAGAAAAGGAGCACTACAGCCATGTTCAAAGTTGTTGCCATGGAGACTTGATAGCACTAGATGTACACATGCGCTAAGATAAGCAATATTTATGAATGTGAACTTCTTTTTAAGTTTGTTAAAGAAATATTGTATGGTTTTCAAGACCTGCTCCAGGAATGACATCTTGCACAAACGCATTGTGGACAATAAATTAATGTGTGACCTAAATGCAATTGATATATGTAATGGTAGAAACTTGTGAAACAAGGTTTTATGCCTTTGGAGGTAACCATGCCTCAGAATATATCAAGTACAATATTTAAACAAATAGAATGCTGACTGTACCTATAACCTTGAATCTTCACCAAAATCTTTCAGAGGAGGATTATACCAAGAGAAAGAATTGACCAAATGTTAAACACATAATAAATAACTCCATCCAGACACTTTGATCTTTTCGTTTCAGTGCTGAGAAATTCCTCCGGGTCCATTTAGAAAAATCCATGAAAGTGAGTGAGCGAGTTTAGCTTTACGGCGCTTTTAGCAATATTCCAGCAATATCACGATGAGGAACACCAGAAATGGGCTTCACACATTGTACCCATGTTGGGAATCGAACCCGGGTCTTCGTCTTGACAAGCGAACGCTTTAACCACTGGGCTACCCCACCACCCCAGTTCATGAAAGAATATCTATGTCAGCAGTGTGTTGTAAGTGGCAAGACCACAAAAAACAGTAACGGGACAGTAATTATTGTTCATTATGTGCATATGCTCTACAAATTAGAGCTCAAACAACAAATCAGATTGCAGCAAATTTCATCAGGCCACCACTTATAGGTCCTTGATAACGGACAAGCAGGCTCATATGCAGTATGATTTGTCAAATGAATGAAAGTTCGACCAATAGTGGTGGCATTACTCGTTGATTAAAAAATATCAACTTTGGGGTAAAGACGTGATTGTTTCAATCATTATCATACAAGTACATAACAAGGAAGACTGACTGAGTTTAGTGTTACGCCGCTTTTAGCAATATTCCAGCAATATCACGGCAGGGGACACCAGAAATGGGCTTCACACAATAACAAGGAAGATGCTCGCTAGATAAAGCTCATTTTCAAAGAACAATGAAAGTGTTTTTATCCTATCAACATGCAGTGAACCATTGGTAAGGATATCAATGACTGGGTGACCTTTACATTCAACACAACATAAAGTATCTATAAAAGGTATTTATTTCATATTACAATTAAAACATGAATAACGCATGTTGCACAATGATGACATTATGGATTTGTCAGATGATTTTTTTTATCAGCGCATTATGAAAATTTCAAATGAAACCAAAAATCATAGGTGTCTGCTCAGTGGACAGAGAAACAGAGCATTAACATAACTTGCAATGCTATCATCTAAACTGACATTCCAAGATCATGTCACAATGATACAGTTCTGTGATGAAAGAGACATATCCTTCCATTTACTCCTCAAAACTTCACCACAATAATGTGGAAAATATTTATCCAGATTCCCTCAGTATCGTCCATGTCGATCACGTGACCGGGACCTCCTGCGCTCACGACTACGTGACCTCCTCTCTTTGCTGCGAGACCTACGGCGATCCCTTTCCCTACTGTTACTGCGGTTTCGGCGTGTGGGTGGTGACCTTGACCTTGATCTAAAAGAACAAATTAAGTCATGTAATGAGCTGATACTGCCCTTAAGCATTACAGAGAACGCTGCAATCTGATAACATACTACTCACACTTGGCTAAGGATCACAAGAATTCACAACTTCACTTAAATGTAGATTTATAATTTGAAATTGTATCCATTTAAAACTGGATAAATAATAATGTAGTAACACCCCTTTAGGCACAGTCAATTTAATCTAACATTATGCACTTGATACATAAGGAACCATGAAAATGGTTTTCATGGCACCAATCAACCATTTTGCAAATCATGGAAAAAGTTATTGACAAGTACAGGACACCTGTCAAAACCTGGGATCCATGCTTGCAGTAAGCTTAGATATTTAAACCAAATTTGACCCCACAACATAGTTTTCTGTTGAATCCATGATTTCATCCTTAGCAAAGTGTGAATAGTATATATATATAATGGGGGAAAACAATCTTGATGGAGATAATGTTCCGTGAAGAAGTAGTTAACCTCTAGTTGACCTTGGTGTTCAACATTTGGTAACTAAGTCCTGGCCAACAGAAGATTAGAGTGCATACAAGTCAGATTCCTTCCTGTCACTTCGTTGTCTCATACACACAACAAAACAGTCCTTTGATTATGAAAAATGCTACACATTGTGGCAGAATGGCAAGTCACATTTTCATGATTCCCACAGTTGAGACAATATGTATGTTTTCAGCTGCTAAACCCCAGAGATTTTGGGACCGAGAAACTAGAAACACATGTTTAAGATTAGAAACAATAGTTAGAAACACAATTGCTAGGATCACCCTGTAAAACTTACAGCTTCATAGGCCTTATTTTTTCCATTGAAAAATGGAAGGATGACACTTCGACAGGCTCAATATGGTAATGACTGTCTTTCAGGCACGGGGATCTTCAGTGAAACATCTTATTACGACAACAAACGGAACTTGGAAATCAGTATCATGTCTTATAACACCTATTATCAACTCACCTCTTCTTCCTGCGTCGACCATACAACTCTCGTCTCAGTTCCCGGGAAATAGGTTTCAGATGCATGAAGTTGCAGAACCCTCCTCGTGTACACTCACTGACAACAAAGTCACAGAAAGGTCAGGTTATGTGTTGTACATGGGACAGATGAATGTACAAACCTTAATAACTACCTACACAATGCTGAATATTTTCGCACATAAAATACAGTATTTGCAAACCTATTCCCCACTCACCCCATCTCATACTGCCGACAGCATGCCTCTCTGAAGTCAGTCACTGGCGACAGCTCAGCATGGATGGGGGCGGCCATTAAACCAGCGATTGTTAAGGTCATTCACAGCCTTGTCAGCATCTTCCTCATAACGGAACTGAAACAAATCATCAACACGTGTTACATGCTTGGAAACAGATTCAACAGCAATCTGCAGGTGCTTTCAATGGCAATGAAAACCTTGGGAAATAAAGGCTGTTTACAATATTGACATGCTTAGCTTAATAATGTCAAAACACTCAAATACTGTTTCACAAAATGAAATCCTATAAATCGAGACATTAGACATCAATGCACTATTTGAGTATTACTAGCTAATATTGTATTGCAATATTAGTAATTTATTCTTAGTCTGAAGTTAAAGGTATTTCCTGCTTAATTTCCATTAAATATCAGAGCGAACATATTCTTCACAGTTTGACAATTTGTCAACAATATTTGTTTTGTGTAGGTTTAAAGAATAGTGCCAGAATATAGTTCTGAGCCATGAATGCGTGTCAGAGAAAAGCTGGCATCCCTTAAACTTCAAAATATGAATGTACAGGATGTGAATTCATATTATGTTGGTTTACTGGAGTATGTTGCAAGCACCAGCATACTAACAAATATATATATTGCAAGTTTAAAGTATTTACAAACAAAATATGGATTCTACCATGACCAGTAAATACTGGATTGTGATTGGGTAATCAAAGTCATTTAGAGGTATATAATCACGTTATGGGCTATATAGTAATATGTATCAAATTAGGAACATAACTGTTGGCAGTTAAGCTGTATGGATTGTAGCATTCCAGTACAACTCAAACTATCATTCAATTATATGGTCAATGCCACTACATTTGTAAGTGCAATAAATTACAGAACACAAATAATGTTAGATGTTACAAATGAAACAGTCTTCTTTACTTTCATCAAGTCATAATCTTAATCACTAATGGCAAAACAAAAAAAGGTCAACGTAACACTTCTTAGTTTGTTAGTGGCCTGCACTCCTACACATTCAAATATCAGAAACTACTACATTAATTGCTATTTGTTACGCTTGTGTGGAAACTTTGGGTTTAATCATGTTAATGGAACATGTAACATGCATGTCCAAGTGTTTGGTATCCTCGTGCAGCATTATATGGTATTGGAGGGTTGAGTTAGGGCACTATCATATTTGAATGTGTTATACTTGGGTGACATGTGGTACTGGGCACCTGTCCTGGAATCACCACAAGAGACAAACCAATATCAAAACCCAACAAGGATATGTTCAAATGTATTCAGTGATTCTTACCTTCACATAGACATTGCCCACCAGATGATCTCCAAGATTGTCACACACGTTCATCTCCTCGATTTCACCATACTGAAATAGACACACGTGTAACTATGCAGGGACTGTTCAAACAGCAACAAACTGTGCTAGTCACGGCTCCTCACTATACTCTCCTACTTACAATAGTATATCTGTTCTTGTTCCAAGTTTAGTAGGTGATGAAATTCAGTTAGGAATACATGTCTCCAAGCCTTTAGCATCTTAAAATGCCACTGTCCCTGAGTAAACATTTTGTTGTAATCAAACCTGTTCCTTCACGGCAACTTAAACTCCTGGTCATATACACAAAATATTGTCTTCAGTGATAATTTTTAACATTTCCCCAACATTAAGGCTAAAATTGCGAGCAATATATCCAAATCTGAACCGGTGTCGGGTCTCTTGCCAGCCTCATTTTGTACTTCTCTGGTATAAGCTGTCACAAGTAACATCTGTTCAGTAGGTTCCAAAATTAAAGTCAATACAAAAACAACAACAAAGATTTAATGAGATAATGCCAAGAAACAGGTTTGGGCTTGTAGAATCAAAGGTTTTTGGCACGGACAATTTGTCGATTCTGTGATGAACCTTATGTCTCATTTATGTAACCTAATTCACATTATTCAAGAGATCCTAATCAAAACAGGTAAAAAGGAGAGATAAAAAGTGGCACACAAAAGGAAGTCAAGATAATATAGAGAGATTTTTTTATCATATACCATTTCTAATAAACTCATGGGCCAAAGAAAGTATAGGACTGGAAAAAGTATTGTTTCACTGTCATTGACATGGTTATGAGAATTAGACATTCTGGCAATGTTGGCCCCACTACTGGGAAGGGAAATACACCGCCAAAACGCAACACGTTCGAACGGTGAGAGTGATGACGTCACAAATGTGGAAAGCATGTTCCATGCTCCTAGCACACAATGCACTTACAAAGTTTCAGTAAAAATGTGATGCATCAGTCCCGTCATATCACAGCTGCTGAAAACACATGAAAATTATGCCACGACTGACGCCAGAACAGAGAGAGAGGGCCAAAAGGATGTCCGATATGGGAGTGACGAACGTCAGAATTGCATGAAGAGTTGGTTGTACGCCACTAACGATAGCAAGACTCCTCCAACAATTCAGACAGACAGGTCGAACACAGGACAGGCTGAGGAGTGGACGTACACGTGTAACCAGCGCACGTGAAGATCACCATATACGCCTGATACACCTCCGAAATTGATTTGTTACGGCAACGTCAACGGCCGAAACAGAGTTGGGACGTCGCATCAGTCGTAGGACTGTCCTCAGACATTTGAGAGCAGATGGAATACGTTGCTATCGACCATTCCGTGGAATGAGGCTAACTCAACAACATCGACTTGAAAGACTGCAATGGGCAAGATGAGTATAATGCTAGCAAGTGCGTGATTGGCGTAGGGTCCTCTTCACTGATGAAAGTCGGTTTTGTCTGCACAAAAATGACGTCCGACAGAGTTTACAGTGACGGGGTGAACGTTTTGCATCAGCATGCATTAAAAAAGACCATGCTTATGGTGGAGGTAGTGATGGTATGGGGGTGAGGTGGCATTATTGGCGACCAAACGACACCCTTGGTAGTTATTCAGGGGAATCTCAATGCTAATAAGTACCGAAATCAAGTCTTGCAGGCTGCTGTCTTACCTTTCTTGATCAATCAACCAAAAGGTATATTGTTTCAGCAAGACAATGCAACTCCCCATACAGCAATAGCGACGAGAAACTTTCTTAATCAGAATAACATTAATGTTCTACTCTGGCCTTCTCGATCACCAGATATGAATCCGATTGAGCATTTGTGGGATCATTTGGGAAGACAAATTTGTGGTCGTCATCACCCTCCACACACAAGACAAGAGTTGGAAGGTCACTGAGGGACGAATGGCAGCAACTGCCAAATGTCGTCATCCGACGCTCTACGCCATCGATGCGACGAGGCTGCTGGCGGACACACGCTACTGACGTGATTGTTCTGGAACAAACTTTTCTGTCTTTTGTGTGCGCAATTCGTCAAAGGAAGATCATTGTAACTTTGATATTTACCCCCTGACTGTTTGAATGTCAATGTCACCTTTCCGTTCTTTCAACAAGGTGATGATTTGTACACACAGCAAAGTGCAAATGAATTTGCTACAAATTACATCTATTACATAATTCCAAATCTTGTGTTGTTTCTGTTTTACTGAGATTTCAAAATGACCTATACTTCCTTTTGCCCATGAGTTTACATAATAATTCACTTACAATTTGAAAAAAACAAACCACTCTGTTAATAATCTTGCAAATAATTAATGTCATTTATAAACATGTTTAGGTAACTGATGTTTGAGGCCTAATTCCCCACGATGGAGTAACCACAGAAAGCATATAAATAAACAGTGTTTGGGAGAACCGCACCATTTATTACCATACAGTGCCACGATGTGCAACCAGGTCTATCTTTCACACAATCCACATATCAGGAATCCCAAATTTAAGTTTAGAGTGAACTTCAATCAATAACAATCATCTTAGCATGTATGGAGTTTAAAACCATTTCCTGTGACCTCCTTTAAGTATTAACCACTGTACTACTTAGTCTATCAAAATGGCTTACTGCATTATATTACCCGTCATATGAGTAAACACCCACCCACTCATATACATTAAGTCAGGGCTGTGATTGCTTTAGATACTCGTGGAACAAGGACAAATCTTTATGACTTCAATTAGTGTCCTCCATAGAATACTGGACAATACAAGTTAGATTTGATTTCAGCCTTCACAATTCTTCTTTTAACATCTCCCACTGGACAGCCCCATTCCCTGCCAACATGCTTGGGATGGGATTTTCAGGCAAGAGGTAAACCCATACAGGCCACGTAACGAGTATCACATTCCTCCTACATCTCCAACTCTTGAATACTACCTCAGCAATCAACACTTCATTTATCTTTGGATGGTTAAAAGTGCAGGGCCCAAGCACAAATGATTAATGAATTCCCCACGCGATGAATGAAATACCACATGCATGCCATGTTTCAATATTCATGCTAAGACAGGCCAACATGGAGTCAACAGCGACTGACATCCAGCATACTATGTCCACCAACATTGTCATATTACATGCCCCTCCCTGAACAAGGGAATGCCACAATATAATATGCCCTTCCTTCAGAATCTGAACGTCACAACATGTCTCTTCCCCCAATCCCCTACCACAACTAAATGAAATTTGATACAATCAAAACTGAACAGACAAATTCTGATTCAGTGCAAACCTTTCCATGTGTTACGTTCTTTAATACCATTGAAAGTCACAGTTTTAAGTTATTGTTACATACACATCAATAATATTTTTGTCATGAAACATGCGAAAGGCCTATGGAATATTGGATTCTTGATCCAGCTAGCTATGACAAAACTTTAAGTTAATGTCTATGGTCACAATATCCCACAGTGCAATGACATGCTTGGTGTTAAAGGCTCAACTGTAATCTCCCAACATATATAGAACTAAGACCACTGTAGTGTCAAGTGTGTACAAGCTCCTGTAAGTAGTGGTTAGTGCAGTATGCCAGTCCTGAATAGCAAGACTGACATGCAGTAGCAGGGAGTCACAATGTTAATGATGTAAGTTGCTGGGGGTAGGGGACGAGCTGCAGCCTACCTTTTCCATTTCAACATAAACTTCTTCAAAAAACTCGTCATAGTGCTGCTGAATCTCAAACTCGTCCATTTGGACTAAAATAGAGTGGGAAAAACAAAAATGGTGGCCATTAATTCACATATGATGACAATGAAATTACTTCGCTATAATGATAACAATACCCTCCGCTGGCTACAAACAGAAACAAAGTGGGTGTTACTGACGATGATGACATGGGGTGATGTGTGTGACTTGCACAGGACACCACACAAGGAGGACAGACAGACCTTGCCGACAGTTTACAATTTCTCAGAAATACATTCATGCGTTTACCTCTTACCAAATACTAACATTGCTCTACATAATCTGTCTGTCCTCCCATGTGTGATCACCGACAGAAACACAAGACACAGTACACACAGTACATGAGGCCTGTACTTCGTATGTCAACGATGATGGTGAGATAACTGTGGGTGGGTCTGGCAGCACTGAAATCAGATGACATGTATCAATTACCTTGTCCTCTAATTCAGTAAATACCTCCTCAAAAAAATCGTCAAACTCCTGTTGTGCTTCCACTTCATCGACAGTGACTGAAACAAAAAATACACATGAATGTCTGGTGTAGTAATGTATACAAGACACCATGCTTCTATAAGTGATAAAACATAAACTCTTCACCCAGAGAGGTTACCAACAGGCAACATACCGAGAAACATACACTGTGACATAACACATACATACAGTCACACAATGTACACAGTGACGACACAGACAACATACATGCCTCACACAGTGACAACACACATACACACCTCACACTGAAACAATACACACACAATGACACACCTCACTATAAACACATGTCACACACTGTCACTATAGACACATGTCACACTGTCACTACAGACACAGTCACTATAGACATACATCACAATAGACACACATCACACACTGTCACTACAGATACTTCTCGTGCACTGTCACTATCGACACTAGTGTTGGGAATTGGTTGAAATCTCACAATTAATGATTGGTTCGATACCAACGACCAATCATCGAAAAAAATTGGTTAGCATCATTTTTTAGATTTTCCTATTCAGGTTGTAGTTGCAGACAAGTATAAAGAAAAAAACATTTGGTTCTCTGTTGTTTTTTTTTGTTTTATTTAGAAACTGCACAAATTACATTTGCAAATTTCACATCCAGTGGAAAATGATTCTGTTCCAGTGTAACATAAACTTCCCAGATCCTTCAAGAAATATTCAGTCATGACTTTTCAGAAAGTGAAGTGAGTTTTCTAAGAATTAAACACGTTTTCCGGCCCTGACAACGTCCTAGATATGTTCCATCATCAAGTATTTCAAACTCTATTACAGCGGTTCCAAAATCGTTTGTGTTCGATTATGAGAAAATGGGATCGATTGCTTGGTCGTTTGGCCACTGCGACCAATCTTCGATTATTTCAATTAATCGGAACACCACTAATCGACACATCACAAATGTCACTATAGACACGTCACTATAGATACTCCTCACAATCAATATAGATACTTCTCACACACTGTCACTATAGACACACGACACACTGTCACAAGAGACATTTAACACACATCAATATAGACACACAGTCTCTATAGACACACATGACACACTGTCACAATAGACACCTCACACACAGACTAAACTTACACACCTAACACAAACCACATACACACCTCACACACAGACAACATACATAAACCACTCAATGAATATACTTCCCCCCATTCCTGTTGCCTAGGATTTGTCAGTTATGAAAAACTCACTGGATCATGTTATTATTTGAAGAAATGCTTCAGTGCAAATACTCTCTACATATTACTGGACAATCACAAGTGTACACATAACAAAGACACGCTGATAAACTTCCAAACAGAATACAACTGCAATATTACATTTGTCCTAAAGTAGTAATTCGGAGAGTTAACTTCTTGATCTTTAATCAACGTTGAAGGTGGTATCCAATGTACAATTCAGACACTGTACTTATATGTATAATCAATCATGTCAATAAGCATAAGTAGCACAAAGTACATTGTGGGTTTTAAATGGTTTCAAATTGTATCATGTTTTATAAACAGCCTAACTTACATTCAATGATATAATGTTATTACATCACAGAGTTCAGTGGTGTTTTCATGACATTTTATATGGAACTCCCATTACAGAAACAGGATGGAAGTGAAGTGTACACGACAATCACAAGACAATCAACATGCAATCCTGAAATAGCAGGTAGACATCAACCTTCAAGGTTGAAGCCCATCCATGATGAGGTACCTTCAAACTTATTACCTACAAGCAGCTGTAACCAATAGCAGCTTGCAAATTGTATGATGATAAAGAGAACATGTTTATTACATAGTAGAGATCACATGGATATGGCTACAACACTTAGTGCCATAATACATATCACGAACACCACCAAGTGAAAATAGGAACAGGCAAAAGAGACAAAAGTTACAAAAACAAAATTAAAGCAAAATAAGGATACTGAAATAAAATGTTGATTACTGTTCAAAATAGACCAGTTGCAGCAGGAGACTGTAAAATTATTGTCATTATGATAGCATTGTCAAACAAAATGATAGACAGCCCTTTCACTGCCACTTCCTGAAGGCTCCAGACACCATTACATTTCACCATTCATAACGCCATTACTCCTTGTTTTGGGGAACAACTTGTCAACTAGTATAATTAATGAATGCTAAACACTTCTCAAATCCAAATGCAATTTTACAAAGGGTGCCACGGGGCTCCAGACAGATAATTTAGATGTGTCTTTGTGAGAATATATGTGCCCATACCTTTGGATAATCTAATTAAACTTAAAACATTACAATAATTATGTCATTTGAAACATACTACTGTCACAGCAATAGTCTATTGCAACATACTACTGTGACAGCAATAGTCTATTGCAACATACTACTGTGACAGTGATAGTCTATTGCAACATACTACTGTGACATTGCATTTGCAACATACATACTGTGACGGCAATAGTCTGTTGCAGCATACTACTGTGACAGTGATAGTCTATTGCAACATACTACTGTGACAGTGATAGTCTATTGCAACATACTACTGTGACAGCAATAGTCTATTGCAACATACTACTGTGACAGTGATAGTCTATTGCAACATACTACTGTGACAGCAATAGTCTATTGCAACATACTACTGTGACAGTGATAGTCTATTGCAACATACTACTGTGACAGCAATAGTCTATTGCAACATACTACTGTGACAGCAATGATATACTACTGATTGCAACATACTACACGGTGATGTCTATTGACAGTGATATGTCTATAGTCTAACATACTACTGTGACAGTGATAGTCTATTGCAACATACTACTGTGACAGTGATAGTCTATTGCAACATACTACTGTGACAGTGATAGTCTATTGCAACATACTACTGTGACAGTGATAGTCTATTGCAACATACTACTGTGACAGTGATAGTCTATTGCAACATACTACTGTGACAGTGATAGTCTATTGCAACATACTACTGTGACAGTGATAGTCTATTGCAACATACTACTGTGACAGCAATAGTCTATTGCAACATACTACTGTGACAGTGATAGTCTATTGACTACTGTGAAATAGTCCGGCAGATTGCAACAAGGTCTGATGATAGTCTACAACCCGCCGCCCCAGTGACAGACTGTATATTGCAACATATGACTTTGACTGAAGTTGTTATATGCAACATGTGTCACTTGTTTGCTGTTTATAAATCTTATGTTTGTTAATAATGACAATGATAGTCTATTGCAGATAATACTAAATCTGAATCTGTGTGTGTTTGACATTATACTCTGACAGGATAGTGTGAATTGCAACATACTACAGACAGATATATTGAAACATACTACTGTGACTGTGACAGATAGTCTATGTTAGTTTGAAACACCATTAAGTGATACTGCTGTGACAGTGATAGTCTATTGCAACATACTAGTCTGTGACAGTGATAGTCTATTGCAACATACTACTGTGACTGTGACAGTGATAGTCTATTGCAACATACTACTGTGACAGTGATAGTCTATTGCAACATACTACTGTGACAGTGATGTGCAACATACTACTGTGACAGTGATAGTCTATTGCAACATACTACTGTGACAGTGATAGTCTATTGCAACATACTACTGTGACAGTGATAGTCTATTGCAACATACTACTGTGACAGTGATAGTCTATTGCAACATATTGCAACATACTACTGTGACAGTGATAGTCTATTGCAACATACTACTGTGACAGTGATAGTCTATTGCAACATACTACTGTGACAGTGATAGTCTATTGCAACATACTACTGTGACAGTGATAGTCTATTGCAACATACTACTGTGACAGTGATATAGTCTATTGCAACATTGCAACATACTACTGTGACAGTGATGTGACAGTGATAGTCTATTGCAACATACTACTGTGACTGCAATAGTCTATTGCAACATACTACTGTGACAGTGATAGTCTATTGCAACATACTACTGTGACAGTGATAGTCTATTGCAACATACTACTGTGACAGCAATAGTCTAGTGTGACAGTGATAGTCTATTGTCTATTGCAACATACTACTGTGACAGTGATAGTCTATTGCAACATACTACTGTGACAGTGATAGTCTATTGCAACATACTACTGTGACAGTGATAGTCTATTGCAACATACTACTGTGACAGTGATAGTCTATTGCAACATACTATTGTGACAGTGATAGTCTATTGCAACATACTACTGTGACAGTGATAGTCTATTGCAACATACTACTGTGACAGTGATAGTCTATTGCAACATACTACTGTGACAGTGATAGTCTATTGCAATATACTATTGCGACAGCGATAGTCTATTGTGAATAGCTATTGCAATACTATTGCAATAGCTTTTTTCACCATGAATTTTCTCATTTGAAGTCATTTCCCAAATGAATGTATAGTTTCTAAGAAACAAGCTGAAGTAGTTTCAGTCTCTTTTGATAACTGACAAGAAACTTGAAACCCAGATCAAGTAAACATTTCATATATAAACATATTGTTATTCACAATTTCAAACTCTGAGTCGCATGCCGTGTTTGCCCCCGTGTTTGTTTATGAGGTAAAAGGGGCAGATAACTCTAAATCAAAGTGAACAAATCTGATACTTCTTTATTTTGCTCTGCGCATTTATCAACAGAAGTCAATTAGTAAACTATTGACAGTCACACATACTATCTATGTATTAACAGTTTTTCGTTTCTACCATCGATTATTTGCTATCGGAAACTCAACAATTGCAATCCATCGATAGTTTGATGCATCATTAAAGCACTTCAAAACATCATTTAGAAAAAAGTACAACTGTGCTCTTATCCAGCAATAAATACATAATACTGACAATATACAGCTCTCAAGGAATGACATGACACAGCTACAAGTACAGATGAAAATAGGCTAGAAATTATATAGAACTTACTTATGATTGTAAAAATATCCTATTGTCTTGGTGAAGACCAAGTGACACACTGTATTTATCTAAGCATACATTGTGGTGAAATGAAATGGTATCTGCAGTCAGGGAGCGAAGAGTTGAAGACAGCACTCAGACAGATATACATGCTCACTGAAAACATCATTGTCAAATACTACATGCAAGACTGAAACTGCACATAAAAATGTCTACACAAAAATTCATATGGGAAAAAAAGGCATCTTGACAAAAACAAGAACAGCAGTACCATAAGATCACACTTCAAAATGATGCAATGTCAAAGCATATCACTAAGAGCACCAAGGCACATGCAATTCCAAGTTTCAGGCTAATCCCAAACTTGGAGGATAAGAAGTCCAACCAGACAAACTCACAGTATATACTGTTTATTGAGGAATCTTTGATCAAGGAATATTAATAAGGTTACATTGAACAGCTGTAGGATGAGTTATGTTTAACTAATACATGATACTAGCTTTACTGAATGTCCAATATTCCAATTACATAATTATAAGCATGCACTTCAGTGTTACGCTTTACTTCAGCATGGACATGTGTTCAAGCCTGGTGTTTATGGATAGAAGGGCCTCCATCTGCCACTGCCTTCCCTTCAGCACAATCATCATCACAACATAGACACATGGCTATAATAGACAACATGAAGCAAGTGAGCGGACACCGTGTAGACAGAGTATGCACAACAATGAGAGCAGGAGAAGCAACTGTGGTGGGAGATACTCACTGTGGGAGCCATCGGCTGTGAGAGCTGCATTCTGGGGATTCAGGTACAGATTCTGCAGCAGGACCGTCTAGACACAGATGGGAGCAAAGTATGTAACACGAATGGTATACTTCTAGTTGCGCTATGGACTATGTATACCTACTGCAATATAGTTGTATTATTACCAATGACAATGTATACCTCCTACTATATTGTTGTATTATTACCCACAACAATATATACCTCCTACTATTGTGATTCTGGTACCCATATTCCAATACGTATTGCAATATATTGTGATTCTGGTACCCATATTCTGATATGTATTGTGCAATATATTGTGATTCTGGTACCCATATTTTCCGATACATATTGTGATATATTGTGATTCTGGTACCCGTATTCCAATACGTATTGCAATATATTGTGATTCTGGTACCCGTATTTTCCGATACGTATTGTGATATATTGTGATTCTGGTACCCGTATTCTAATATGTATTGCAATATATTGTGATTCTGGTACCCATATTTTCCGATACGTATTGTGATTCAGGTACCTGTATTCTGATATGTATTGTGATATATTGTGATTCTGGTACCCGTATTCCAATATATTGTGATTCTGGTACCTGTATTCTGATACGTATTGTGATATATTGTGATTCTGGTACCCGTATTTTCCGATACGTATTGTGATATATTGTGATTCTGGTACCCGTATTCTATCACGTATTGCAATATATTGTGATTCTGGTACCATATATCTACGTTTTCCGACACGATATTGTGATTCTGGTACCTGTATTCGATCATGTATTGTGATATATAGTGATTCTGGTACCCGTATTCCAATACGTATTGCAATATATTGTGATTCTGGTACCCGTATTTTCCGATACGTATTGTGATATATTGTGATTCTGGTACCCGTATTCTAATACGTATTGCAATATATTGTGATTCTGGTACCCATATTTTCCGATACGTATTGTGATTCAGGTACCTGTATTCCGATATGTATTGTGATATATAGTGATTCTGGTACCCGTATTCCAATATATTGTGATTCTGGTACCCATATTCTGATACGTATTGTGATATATTGTGATTCTGGTACCCATATTCCAATACGTATTGCAATATATTGTGATCCTGGTACCCATATTCAATATGTATTGCAATATATTGTGATTCTGGTACCCGTATTCTGATACCTATTGTGATATATTGTGATTCTGGTACCCGTATTCTGATACGTATTGTGATATATTGTGATTCTGGTACCCGTATTCCAATATGTATTGCAATATATTGTGATTCTGGTACCCGTATTCTGATACGTATTGTGATATATTGTGATTCTGGTACCCATATTCCAATATGTATTGCAATATATTGTGATTCTGGTACCCGTATTCTGATACGTATTGTGATATATTGGAGCCTAGGTGTTTGACTGTTGCTGACATCGATTGTACATGCAGAGCCTATTTTCTTTGCACTAATGCCATAAAAGTAAACGTAATGGTTGTGATAACACAAATTTCAAATTTAGATTTCATTTTGAGGGACTGCATTTTCTTTATCATAAAATGTATTGCATGCAAAGTATGCTGCTTTGTCAATTAATTACAATGGAAAACTTCAGTGTGAATGAAAAGTCTGTGTTGATTTAAACTCTTAAATCATACAGATAATCACAAAACTTCATTTATACTTTATTACCCAATATGATAGTTCTGAGAAAAAACATTGCAATACGAATCGTTTGAAAGGTGTATTGCGATGAAGTAATACTGTGCAGTCCTAATGTATACCTAGTGTAATCATGTGGCCAGTCATGTGACTTTTTAGCGCGGAGTCACTACCTTCAGTCTTGCTCAGAGTACAATACAATACATACAGAGTACAATACATACAGTGTACAGTGGTACTATAACTAAACATACAGTTTATATTTCAGAGAAGACATTTCCCCCATTACATATACCACCACAAAAGTTATATCACAGAGCTACAGATAACTTTTTGGGTCATTGAGTTATGTACTCCCTTGTGTTCATCTCAATTGGGTATCCTAAGTTTCCTTTGAGTAAAGAAATAAATTGTACTCACCTCAATCAAACCCAGTTGGGTATTTTGCCATTTTCCATTAATTTTAGAAATATAATATAGTTTAAATGTTAGTGTTTGTGATTTACCTTTGATCTCTAATATGAGAAACGATAAGAAAGACTGCAAGATGTCAAGTTCATGTCCTAAAATAGAGCCTCTCAGTATACATCAGCTATTTTATCTATCCACCGGTACGCAAGCTACGACTTGACATTTTTGTGTGTACGCATGTAAGATCACATTTATTGAGTATTTACAAAACTTCAGGCGTACTTGTACGCAATAGACGTAATAGGAATTGGGTTTTCATATAAATGTTTGCGTAATTTACGCAGATACGCAGCTTATCTGTACCTCTGTATCAGATGCAATGATACAAACTGCTGTGTTATATCAAGGAAAGGAAACTGTTTGTCAGCACAAGCAGATATGTATCTTAGACCATGACAGTTATCTATATATCCGTCAAAGGCTTCATGTCAGACAAGAGCATTGCTTCCATTTAGTTTTAAACTATTGGTCGAGAGAAAAGGCAATCATAATAAATATTGGTCCTGGCTGTTTTTGACTGGACCCATACTAAATATAGTCAACAAGACAGAAACCTGAACAGCAAACACCTGAATGTACATCTCATCAGTGCTGACACTACTTGGATGGTGGTAGCAAGGATCCAATCTTTATATTCATCATTGTTTAATGTTACTATAGGAATTTCCAATACTTTTGTTAGATTTAGTCCCACCTTGGATTCAATCCCACACTCAATGTAATCGCCAGCACACAAAGTTAGCGATTTAACCCACTCAGACAACTGGTAGTTTAGATCATATAATCACAATACTCAGATCGATCATTGGAGCTCAATCATCAATCAAAAATCAGTTGTAACACTGAAAACTTATGTGGGGACACAATCATGACATTGTGTAAACGATGATCTTATGGTTAGAAGTACAAATTGATCAACATCCAAAGTATATAATATACACCTTCTGTTCCAGTACAACATACACATTTCCAAAGTTTTATCAAATTTGTCAACAAAATAGACAATGTCATTGATTCAAATAGATTTTTAATAGGACCATTTGAATTTGAACCTCTCGAGCTGTCAACAATGGGCCATATCTCAATGAAGATGACAGTGATTAAAAGAAATTAATGATCCACAAAATTTCAGTGACAAAACAATTAATTAATAATCTTAACAGATGGCACACTGCTTAAATAGAACTTCCATTCAACTGCAACATATCTTGAAACTTCATTTTTTAAAATTTGAGGTTTGACAGTCACATACCTGGCTAAATGTTGGTTTGTTATGCAGTCGGGAGCATCTCTCACCATGGCGACAGGCTCCAATTTTAAAGTAAAAAGAACAGTTGACTCTGTAAAGGAAAGAAACACAAATGTTATACTGCAATGTATATACTGATACATGAATCGTGATATAGCACATGACAAATAACCCAAATCATGTGATCATGTGGAATAACATCAGGGTGCTTTCTAGCAATAATAACGACTGGTGTTGGAGAAAACTACTGTAGGCTGTGGAAATAAGACGACAAACTGGCAATGAATCGTGTTCAAGGTGTCTACCTGCCAAGTGTGTGGGACCTCTTGATTAACTTTTGATGAAATTTTTATACATCTGAAGCCGTTTATCTATTCATTTGGAAAATCCTACTATCAAGTATACATTGTGTAATCAGCAATCATTGTGTAATAACAATTCAAGTTTCAACTCTATTATCTAGCAAGAATAAATCATCATTATTTGGTTAATAACAGTTCAAGTTTTCAACGTCACTTATAGTACTTCCTTGTGGATTGTTTCTTTGAGTGGCATTTTAGAAGTTGGGAAGTACAATATAGAACAAACTTTATGGATAACAACTTCTTTTTATTCGTGAGTGCGACGTTTCGATACAGATTCTTGTACCGTTGTCAAGCATAATGGAACATGAAGAAGGGGGAAGTGTATATATACTGGATGTAACAATGTAACAAAGAAAACAACATAATTAACATAATTGGCTAGGCAGAAAGTTGATGAAGCCAGAGTGTAGACAAAGGACAGGCGTGGAAGCCAATGATGTACAAATAATAATGAGATGTTTATACAGCAGAGTTTATACAGTAGATTGGGCTTGGTGGATGAGTGCATCATAAGCGGGTGGAATGAAGTATCCTTGGTCTCGGTTGATGGTGGGCTTTTGGCGTTTGATGTGGATGGCTTCGGTGAGCTTGCGTTTAGTGAAGTCTGTTTGTTTGTTAGAGAGAATGGTGATGTCAGACCACTCTATTTGATGATTGGGGCTTGCCTTGATGTGGCAAGATCCGTGACATCTCCAGTGACATGATGGAGTCGGTTGAGAGGCTGGTGTTGAGGGGTTGTTGAAGTTTGTCAATTCTGTGGCGTAAGGCTTTGAGCGCTTCTTCTCTAGGTACACTAGTAAATAGGTCCACAACATCGTAGCTGATGATGGGACCTGGATTGGAGATGTCACGGATCTTGCCACATGAAAGCAAGCCCCAATCATCAAATAGAGTGGTCTGACATCACCATTCTCTCTAACAAACAAACAGACTTCACTAAACGCAAGCTCACCGAAGCCATCCACATCAAACGCCAAAAGCCCACCATCAACCGAGACCAAGGATACTTCATTCCATCTGCTTATGATGCACTTATCCACCAAGCCCAATCTACTGTATAAACTCTGCTGTATGAACATCTCATTATTATTTGTACATCATTGGCTTCCACGCCTGTCCTTTGTCTACACTCTGGCTTCATCAACTTTCTGCCTAGCCAATTATGTTAATTATGTTGTTTTCTTTGTTACATTGTTACATCCAGTATATATACACTTCCCCCTTCTTCATGTTCCATTATGCTTGACAACGGTACAAGAATCTGTATCGAAACGTCGCACTCACGAATAAAAAGAAGTTGTTATCAATAAAGTTTGTTCTATAACTTGTGGATTGTGATGTCATAACACAGTAATCATCGATGCATCGAACTATCGATGGATTGCAATGGTTGAGTCTCCGATTTCAATTACTAGTAATCGATGGTAGAAACAAAAAACTATTGATGAATCAATGGTATGTGTGACTACTGGTATTGAGTAATTGACTTCCTTTGATAAACGATACCAAAAAAGTATTTGGCAATTCCTGCTACGTCAGAGCGTGTTTTTTCAAATGCTGGCGATATTGTTACTGCCCAATGACCATCTCTAAGAATTGAGTACTTGTGGATCACTTGCTGTTCCTCAAAAAGAAATTGAGAGTGTAAACCTGTCACTGAGAATTAAGTAACTCTGCTGTAAAATGTATAACAGGAATTGACAAATACCTTTTTTGTCTAAGAACATAGCTGTTCCCCATGTTCTTGAAGAGTACCATGTCATTCTTTAAGAGTTGTAACTTTAACTAGCTCATGTACACAACTAAGTGGAAGATTATTCTTAAAAGATATTTTAGAAGTGGTAGTTCAAAATCAATCGCACTAATGGATGTTCAACCTTGTGAAGATTTTTGAACTTCTGTAATTTAACAAGTTGATCATGACATGTATATACGTTTTTGTAATTAATATAAAACTACATGTCTAATACAAAGTCTCCCTTATGCAAGTCTTATTAGTTATGATTCAACTTATAGCTTCTAAAGTTGTTACTGTGGTACCTTTGAAACAGTGTCATATCCGCCTATGTTGCAAATTACTGTTGTTATACATGTGCTATGGTTTAACTTCTTGTCATCTGCATTGTGACTGATGAACGAGTAGTTTTATCTAAGTAAAAGTGATGTGTTTCACTTGTGACCACTATTTTTGATTGATTCAAGTAAGGAAGATTTCTTCATGCTATTGGTTGAGATTATAAAGTTAGTCTGTAATGTTCAGTCATTTCTTTATATAAAAATTGCATTTTCATTGCCAAAAGGAATACAAAATTGTAGCTTGGAGATCAATATTTGAACTCATTCTGCTAAATGAACAATTATATATCACATGGTGTTATACTATTATACCCTTGTACTTGACACTTGACTGATGTAAATGTTTTGTAAGAACTGAGCGCTGATTGAAGTTATTGAGTTAACGATAATATTGAATATTCATGCTAATGGTTATAAAGTTACTATGTTTATTCAGACACTTTCTGAATTATTCAACATTCTTTCTTTGCTTAATCCATAATCATAGTTTGACAAAATATGTTGAAACATGGTTACGTTTTGGTACCTGTAAATTTTCAAATATTCTTTGACTTTGATCTGGACACTTTATTATTGTGATATCTCACTGTGTTGTGTTCTGAGGACTTACACAAGTTACTCTATTAGAGGTGCAATTCCTAGATACTTTCAGTTTTCATGCTCAATCCAAATGGGTATTTAGATGGGTATTTATGTTGTTTTGTAATTTGTTTTATTGTTTGGGTGCAGACTTGCAGCTTCATTGAGTTTATTATGTTTTAACTGTTTACTTGATCTGGGTTTCAAGTTTCTTGTCAAGTTATCAAAAGACACTGAAACTACTTCAGCTTTTTTTTATTTCACATAGACTATACAAATAATGGGAATGACTTCAAATGAGACAATTCAAGTAAAACAATAACAATTGCAATAGTATTGCAATAGTGGGTAGCAATAGCATGTTGCAATAGACTACCGCTACCGTAATAGTTTCCCGGAAAGACTTCCACCCTTATCCCCCCTTAAATTTCATTCTTGTCAAATCATATCACCTGAATATATATTCCATATCTGGATAAGGATGGGTTTTAAGATGTTTCTTTAATTGTATCTGAACATACTGAAAGACAAATTCAACTTCTAAAATGCCACTCAAAGACATTAATAATAATAATAATAATAATTGATTTATAGAGCGCCTATTTCCAAAGGATATTGCTCAATGGCGCTATGAAGAGAAAAGATTGTAGACAATGTCTATGGAAAAGAGAGTTTGAACAGATGAGTTTTGAGGGCAGTTTTGAAAGCATCAGCAGATTCTATTTCTTTTAGGGTGAGTGGTAGAATGTTCCAGACATAGGGGGCTGGGAGCACCTTTAGAATACAGCACCACAACTTCTCGTGAGGACAATCTCTGCCGTAGGTCACATATCATTAAGACAAGCAACCAGTTTGTGAGAACCTGTTGGACGCGAACCCGCGACCTTGGATTGTTAGCTCGACAGCTAACCGACTGAGCTACGTCCACAATGTTGCACAATGTGCAAATTTATCGAGTCATTCCTGTGACGTCACGGAAATGAACGGAAAGAGTCGAATAGGTCACGGACAATTACGAATGCTACGGGTAGACTTGGTGTCGGCGTGATTTTATTCTTCGGACAATTGCTGAATGGATCCGATGCCATTTGGCACACTTCGTCCCATTCCGTAATCTACAAATTAACGTGTGGCGTGGAATGAGCCGATATGCCTCAAACTGAAAAGGGTTGTTGGCGTCAAGCGTCAGGCGTGAATTTCCACGGTGCATGCATGAATGGCGCTTTTATATAAATCGGTGATTTTGTGACAGAAAAGTGATGTAGGGAACACTGTAAGGATAATGTGGATCGCACTAAGGAGCGAGGGAGACATGAGCATGTGCAGTAATGCACGCGAGGGTGAGTTAGCCTTGAATCATTACTGAACAAAATTTATGTTGCGTGTGAAATAGGCTTGAGTGCAAATTCCAGGCCAATTTCCATTAGCCAAAAATTTCTACATTAACCCATTTCATAATGTACTTTCTACGTTTTTGGTTTCCCGTTTTTGTGTGAAAAAAAAGTATTAAAATGCAAAAAAGAAAAACAACAAATGGTACTCACGTATTACACCGGACATGTACCTGCTATATTGGATTAGGTCCCTAACCCTAACCCTAACCCTAACCCCTAAACCCTCAGCCCTAACCCTAACCCCTTGAAATAATCCTAATAAATAGAATGCATTGACCGAACCACCGGACATGTACCTACTATATTGCATTAGGACCCTAACCCTAAGCCCTAAGCCCTAGCCCTAACCCTAACCCCAATCCCTTGAATTAATCCTAATAAATAGAATGCATTGACCGAACCGGCACAAACACGACTGACGTGTCTAGTGTAATGCATTATTACCACTTCGAAAAATAAAATACTAATAAAACACTTTTCTGTGTAATGGTGCAAATTACTGAATGACAAAAATATATATGTAAATTTAAAAAATTACAAAATACAAAATACACAAAACATAACACCTCAGCAGCCCGCAATACCAATAAATATGAGCGTATTAGTGAAAAAAGAAAAATATTTCAAACTGGTGCATGCAAAATATTGAGCATCCGCCGGTATACAACTACTGGAAACTCTCAACAACGTTGGGCTTGTGCAATGACATAGCTCGTAGAAATGAAACACCAGTGAGCGGAGCTTAAACGCACTCGCTGAGCCAGACAACCGTGTTGCCATGCAGGCGTCATAGGGCATTGTATCGAGAACGTGCTTTCGAACAAAATCACATTACATTACGATAATAAAGGGTATTATGACGTATTTTTAAAGTTTGTGGTGCTGTATTCTAAAGGTAGGCCGGGGGCTGCAGCAGAGAACGCTCTTGATCCCATTGCTGTTTTGACGTGAGGCTGTGTAAGCAGTAGGGAGTTTGACGAGCGGAGCAATCGGCTTGGAACATGGAGATGAATGAGGCTTTAAGATATTGAGAAAACATGTTTTCATAGATGCAGCTGTGTGTAAGAAGAAGAAGTTTGTATTGAATTCTGCTTGATACATTTTCCTTTATCGTTAAAATCTAGGGGGGATATAGGCGGAAGTCTTACCGCAAATTATCATGCCCTTGCTGAAAGTAAAACTCAACTACCGCTTCATAATATGACATAAAAATCAAATCCATGTTACATTCTTTAAGTGCTCATTCAGTAACTTAAGATGCAAATGTTCAGATAAATCCGAATTTATAAGGTTAAACATCCACTTCGTGAGCAAGTGAAAGTAAGAACATCCATTAGAACCTATCAGGGCTTAGCCTACAAATTTTATAGTCATATGGAAATAACGACTGGGGATATTTGGTAAAGACATCCAAAAGACGGCGCTTAATTTGTTATTTATGGTAGAAATCTGTGTTGCAAATGTAAACGACATACACACCCAATTACATATAAGTTAAGAGTGACATAATTCCAGATTTATATTTCATTTGATCAACTTTAGTAGTCGTAGAATATTGCCCTCCAGATTCTTAGTCAGACGCATATTGTGAAACATATACACGTGGGCGAGTCTCCTTTCATGTGAATAACTAAACTGTATGGTAAAGAATGTAAATTTGCTATTCATCAAATAAAAGTACCAAACAGAACGACTCTTACTTATCCTTTTCTGTACCAAAAATTGACGCCAAGTACTCAGCCATCTTCTGGGTTAACCAGTTATCACTCCTGACAGTGCTGAAAATTCGTTTTCGCTTTGTCTACTCCTAGAGAAAGGTTTCGCTTTAGAGCAAAGCGAGTGCGGAGTTTTGAAATCGTCCCATGGACGTTTACTCCTCGTTTACTCCTTTTCTTTGAATATTTATATCCAAACACACGACTCATGTACATGGATACATATGACTTAAAATATAAAAAAAACAGGCAAATAATTTGGTACCATATGTTTTCGCGAATGTTTAAGGTTCTCAGCAAACTGTATTTTTTGATAAATTGCGCAAGGTTTTCCGTGCGCTACCAATTCAATGACGTTTTGAACAGGTTATGGTGACATCATTTGGTAAATACGACGGAAGTTGTACTGCCTTCCTTCAATGCAAAATTAAAGAAGAGTGTATAATATTTGCATTTTGTTGGTAAGTGTGTGTAAGTTTGGTACTAATTGAATTTAACAGAACCAATTTTCCGATACTAACTTCAGATTTGGTGTGAATTTCCTGAATCACCCTTGTTATATGGGTTTTCGGACCCTAAAGGCTAAAGAGGCAATTGTTTCAGGAAAATTAAATATCCAGCTGTAAAAAATCTCACTAACTTAAACATAACAGAAAACTGTGTCTGAAACACTAACCATCATCCGAGTAATAACAATGTTTGTGTGATCCAACACACCTAGCTTGTTACAGGGAAAGTAAACACAGCCGTCAGAAAACTGACGATCCAGCCATACACGGAAGTGTGATAACCAGCTAACCACCACCCACACATATCCCACCCAGACAAAATGTCTGGAAAGAGTTCCTTCCGTTTCCCCATATTTTTTCTGTAACATTACCGTGCCTGGGGCCCTTATCATACACCGTGGTTCGACCCTATAGGAAAGTGTTTCCTATTCTCGCGGTACGGATATTGGCTGAAAAAATAACACAAACAATTCTTATCGTATTAATGCTTGCTGTTTTTAAATGAAAGATCTTCTCCTCTAACATCTACATCTATCAGCTACCAGATCCATCAGGTGAATTACCACTCGTGAGCCCGGTGATAAACAATGCGATCCGCCATTGACGAAACGAGGCTTCTCCCATTCACGCGGTATTACCAGGAATTAACGTTATTGAGTTTATGTAAGAGCAACCCTGCCGGAAAGGGCGGGAAAAAGTAACAATATGTCCAAGTTGGTATAAACTCCCCAATATTCGTGACACTGCAAGAATTTGATCACTCACAGACTTGGTCCACTTCCTAGTTACCAGTCGGTGATGTAAACAACCGCTAAGTGTCATGCATCAGCGATTTCGGCAGAAAATGTGTTTACCGCGAGAATAGGAAACCCTCGAGAATAGGAGACGGACCTATATATATTGTATTTATTGTTTGGGCTTTTAGTTATTTTTGTGAGTTCTCTAGTAATTGTTGTGTTAGGTTTTGTTAATATTTTCAGTATAATACATGTTATTTGGTATGAGGGAACGGGAGGAGCTCTTACCAAATGTCTGCACACTGCGGACAACATGACCACAATGTGAACAATGACATACATTTTATTGTTTTTAGATATTTTTCCTCATAAATAAGCAGTATTGATCATAAGCACTAATAACATGATTAAACGTAATCTCATAACATAATGCATCATCTTGGTATATTTTCATGGTACATGTAAGCATCTGAAGCATCATTCTAGAACATCACTACCTTTGTACATATTTATTGATGTACATAAGCCCTAATAACCTGATTCAATGCAAACTCATAGCATAAATCAACACAATCTGATGTTGTGGCCAGTGCCAGACAGAAGGGTAGCAATAACATGAAACTGGGATTTTATCCTATGTTGGTCATTTTGGTGTGGGATTTTGTCCAAAGAAATTTTGTCTGTACCTGATCGGAGCACTATGACAGTCTTAAGTCTATGTTATGGGGGTTTTGTGGAATGGGGCCCAGGTTGACCAGTATTGAGCACCAGTCAACCCAATTTCCCAGGTTAGGAGACTGTACCCCAGGAAGGAGAGAGATAGTACTCAGTGCACAAATTTGATTCTATGGATATTATTTTCATTATTTTGGAAAGTGTGTTGTGACCTAGTGGCTCAAAGTGGACCAAATTGAATTGATTTCACTGGCGTGTTTTCTAGGTTGCTGAAGAAAATATGAATTGACTTTTCCTTCTCTCAGGTTCAGTAGCTGTGCTGGAGATGATGACTGTTTTTCTTTTAGATCAGGGATTTCAACAAAGTTTGACACACTTTATCTCATAATGTAATTAACATTACGTTGTATCTTGTGTGACAGGTTGGACGTTCTCTACTATGGATTTGCGGAGAGTGAAGAATGAGGATAAGCTGGACTTGTGTAGAAAGTACTACCATGGTAAGACACCTGATGTGGGACTGCGACTGTAATACCCAGATTAAGTCAAATAGTCTTTATTTAAAATATGATCTTGTTTGAGACAAGAACAATACATGAGATGACTAAATAAGGACTTGAGATAGGATAAAGTATAAATGCGAATGAGTACTAGATTAATCATCTACTTCTGTTCATGTGCAGGAACATCTCCCACTACCACTGGACTCATGTTCATTATTTAAAGTTTTCAATGTATTAGGTCATCTGGACAAATTGCATCCTTGATAATCTCCAGGGAATACGTTACGATCACTCTCCACTATTCCCTGGATGCATCCATGGCTTGGCCCGATGATTATATTACCTCCCTTTGCTGGCTCCGCATTCTCACAGTAGCCAATCAGCGAAGCCGCCGTTACATCTGAGCTTGCCAGTGTCAACAAAGATAGCGGTCAGAGTCTCGAAGGTTTCTTCGCAGTGCCACTCAGATTTTGGGGGAAATAAAACAGACAAATTGACAGATCTAAAACTTTAAAAACATATGAAAGAACTCCTTCTACCTCTTTCAGAGTACCTGTGCATCAATTGTGTTGCCAAGTTTAAACGGTTAGATAATTTAAGAAGCGAAAGTGAGTTGTGATTGGTTCGCTCAACTTCCCAGCTTAGACACCTGATTGGATAAAAAGCCAGCAAAGGGAGGTAATAAAATAATCGGGCCAAGCCGTGGATGCATCCAGGGAGAGTGATCGTAACGTATACCCTGGAGATTATCGAGGATGGACAAATTGTTGCTGTGCTAGCATCAGACCATGTTGTACAGCCCCTTCATGCAGAACGTTAAACCCTTGCTTCACCCTTGACACTCCAGTGTTTCTTGTGCTGTTTTGTCCAAGACTGACTGACTGACTGAGTTTGGTTTTACGCCGCTTTTAGCAATATTCCAGCAACATCACGGCGGGGGACACCAGAAATGGGCCTGACACATTGTACCCATGTGGGGATTCGAACCCGGGTCTTCGGCGTGACGAGACAACGCTTTAACCACTAGGCTACCCCACTGCCCCATTTTGTCCAAGAGCAATTAGTTGCAATGTCATAGCAAACAAGTAATTATTTTGGCTTAGGCCTTAGATTTACATAGTTTAAACATAGTGGTAGTTGATACATGGAACTGGATGTACTAGGTTTGTCATATATATACTTTTTGTATATGTACATACATTACTGTGCAGTTTGTCACTGATTTCAAACTAGTGGACTATCTTACTTTAGTTAGAATGTACTTTGGATATATTTTTGCTACTTCTAAGATCTGCTGCAGTGAATTATAAAGGCAGAAAGTGTCTACATAAACATGGAAGTGACTTATCACCTATGTTGTTTTCTATTCTTCAGGGGGTTTTGCATTGCTGCCATTTCTCTGGTTCATCAACTTCTTTTGGTTTTTCAACGAAGCATTCAGGAAGCCCCCATATGAGGAACAGAAACAGATCAGAACATGTATGTCTAATTTGTCAGTGGCATTCAGTGTACAACTTGTGAATGAATTCAGTACATGTTTCTGATAACCAAAAGCACCTTCATGTGACATATTGGACAGTTTGATGTAACTTGTTATTTTACATCCTCGATAACCTCCAGGGTATACGTTACGATAACTCTCTACTATACCCTGGATGCATCTACGACTCGTCCCGATGATTTTATTACCTTCCTTGGTTGGCTTTTTATCCAATCAGGGAAGTTGAGCGTACCAATCACAACTCACTTTCGCTTTTTAAATTATCTAACCGAATAACCTTGTCAACACAATAATATATTGTTGCAGATACTCTGAAAGAAGGAGTTCTTGCATATATATTTTTAAGGTTTCAGACCTGTCAATTTGTCTGTATGTTTTCCCCCCAAATCTGAGTCGCACTGCGAACAAACTTTGGCGGCTGCGACCGCTACTTTTGTTGACACTGGCAAGCTCGGTTGTAACGGTGGCTTATCTGATTGGCTACTGTGAGAATGTGGATCCAGCAAAGGGAGGTAATAAAATCATCGTGCCGAGCCGTAGATGCATCCAGGGTATAGTGGAGAGTTATCATAACGTATACCCTGGAGATTATCAAGGATGGTTATTTTAGGGATTGTATTTTTTGTAAAGTACAAATTGTAGTACCTGCTTGGGTTGCGTCCCATCTAGTACTTGAGCCTTATAACAAAGAGACACCTAATAGCCTGTTTTTGACTGAGGAGGGTAATAATCTCACTATCATGTAACTTCTGTCTTAAAATTAATCCATGATTGTACATTTGAACTGTGATGTATCTTCAGAAACAGTGTATGTTTACAGGAGTTTGAGTGAGCAGCCCCATTTGTCATAATGTCCTAAGTGATTTAAAGTCATGTTGTCGACAAAAACACTCAAACATTGAGAAACCCTTATCTGAATCTAACAGAAACATAAGATAATAATTTATTAATGAAGCATCACACTGATATAAGACAATAAAAGTTTATAAGTCTGAGGTTATGTAGACACAGATTAACAACACTACAAGCAGTGTAACAAATTAGGAAAAGGTAACCCACACCAGATGGGCCAACAAATTCTGTTCAACACCAGAATATCATTAACTGGCTTGATAAATGTCACAGTTGAATAGGGGTATGGTACTTTTGCGGTACATGGTCTTCTGTTCGGTCCGTTTCGGTTCGGTCCGGTTCGGTTAATGCAGAAATTTGACAAGAACCAAAGCTTACATTAATTAATAACATGGGAAGAAATAACCATAATCTTTGTGATTTTGAATGAACAAACCTACCATTTTATGATAGAAATTTTGGATTGCATTACGGTATACCAAACTGAAGGCAAAATACTGCAGTTCTACTAATATCGTGGTATACCATTTCACCCCTAAGGTTGAAGGATAGAGAAGTTTATGTCCATTAGTCTTCCCAGTCTTCAGCGGTCACATCATGCTATTTAATTTACCCGTGAAGGTCTCGGTTAGAATATTGATCTTCAGTAACCCATGCTTGTCGTAAGAGGCTACTAACGGGATAGGGTGGTCAGGCTCGCTGACTTGGTTGACACATGTCATCGTATCCCAATTGCGTAGATTGATGTTCATGCTGTTGATCCCTGGATGTCTGGTCCAGTCTCATTTATTTACAGACTGCCACAACATAGCTGGAATATTGCTGAGTGTGGCGTAAAACTAAACTACACTCACTTTTTAATCTGTTGTTCTTTGTCCATGTTTCACCACGTTATTTAGAGGGCCCTGAACCAACCACTTTCAGGCTAACCAGCTTATTGTGGTGAAATATCAACACATATATATATGTAAACAGTGCCCACCACTATTGTTGTACTTTGCTGTGTCCAGCCACTCAGGGAACAAAGTGTAGTGTCCTGAAGTTAGATTATATTCCCTATAGTGGTTACAAGATCAGCTAGTATAACATTTACAGATGTAGCTGATTGTGTTGTGTTGCATGTTACAGATGTGATCCGGTCACTGATAGGGACAGTGATATGGACAGCTGCCCTCGTCACATGGGTGGTCATCTTCCAGTTGAACCGGGCATCGTGGGGAGCAACAGCTGACTACATGTCTTTCATCATTCCTAAAGGGGAGCCATAGTGGCCACTGATTGGTTGCTGTAGACACAGAGGAGGCCACTGATTCAGTGCTTTGCTGGTAGCAGGACACGTGGGGCTGTGGACTCCTGTCAGACATCACAAAGCTGTATATATGTCATCTAATGAATGAATGAAGAATGAAACGGAGAGTAACAATTTATATAGATGTAACATAGGTACCTAAGAAAGTGTCTGGCCCACAAACTTGGTTTACCTGAAACATGGAAAATGAATACTGGTATGTTGCATGGCCACACGTTTCTTTGTGTTTTTCAAAGCAATCAATGTTCCAGAGTGTGAAATGAACACTTTCAACAGGTTACCAACTGAATAGTCAGATTATATAATGTCCTCACTACAATGAGACTGGAGAAGAAGTAAGACTATGGTAGTTCTGTGTCACAGGTATAAACCTATCGGGCCATCTCCATCATCACCAATTAGCCAATCACTGTGTGCTGTTCACACACAAAAAACCCTTCCAAATTGTGTTCGATGCAGGACCATCCATGATAAGATTTCAAAATCACCACACAGTCATGTCTACATGAATTTACATTGAAAGATTGATAGTATAATTTCAGAATATTGGTTTAACTTCATATGAAGCACTGTTATTTTGCCTGTTATATCAACACACGTTATAAATAATCTAGGACCCACAACATGATATTTCACAGTTTTATTTTATGGAACAGCTGTGTTCTAAGTGAGGATTACTGTATGATTTGAGAAAGAAGTGACTTTCAAACAAATACTCTCCTTCAGGATGATGATGTCATCAGCAAAAGTCACAGTCTACAACTGATTCAGTTCTGCTGGCTGGCCAGGAAGAATAAATGATTCCATATTGTCATGGTTGAGTATGTGTTACAATAACCTGACACTGACACTCACATTTCCCTCACTTATACTCTTTTCAGTCCGTTGTATATCTTTGTTTAGGTTTTACTTTGCAATATTTTTAACCATCTAGAAGATATCACACCTTGCAGTAGCTCTTCAAACTACAACAGCAAATTGAGGGACCAAGGTTTATCTGGTGTTATTACACTGCTGGTACTAGATGCTCTAGATCAGTGGTTCCATTGTGATATAATAAAGATAATTGTGTATTGTCATTTGCCATCTCAATTTTGTCAGCCAGGAATAAGCATTAATGTATATAACACCATGTGTTTGAGTGTTTATACCACAGCTGTACCATTAGAACCAGTATGAAGACAGTGTCTGGCCTGTGTTATGGTGCAGCTGTACCATTAGAACCAGTATGAAGACAGTGTCTGGCAGTCATCTGGCCTGTGTTATAGTGCAGCTGTACCATTAGAACCAGTATGAAGACAGTGTCTGGCAGTCATCTGGCCTGTGTTATGGTGCAGCTGTACCATTAGAACCAGTATGAAGACAGTGTCTGGCAGACATCATCTGGCCTGTGCAGCTGTTATAGCTGCAGCTGTACCATTAGAACCAGTATGAAGACACATGTCTGGCAGTCATCTGGCCTGTGTTATAGTGCAGCTGTACCATTAGAACCAGTATGAAGACAGATGTCTGGCAGACATCTGGCCTGTGTTATAGCTGAGCAGCTGTACCATTAGAACCAGTATGAAGACAGTGTCTGGCAGTCATCTGGCCTGTGTTATAGTGCAGCTGTACCATTAGAACCAGTATGAAGACAGTGTCTGGCAGACATCTGGCCTGTGTATAGCAGCTGTACCATTAGAACCAGTATGAAGACAGTGTCTGCAGATATCTGGCTGTGTTATAGTGCTGTACCATTAGAACCAGTATGAAGACAATGTCTGGCAGTCATCTGGCCTGTGTTATATAGTGCAGCTGTACCATTAGAACCAGTATGAAGACAGTGTCTGGCAGTCATCTGGCCTGTGTTATGGTGCAGCTGTACCATTAGAACCAGTATGAAGACAGTGTCTGGCAGTCATCTGGCCTGTGTTATGGTGCAGCTGTACCATTAGAACCAGTATGAAGACAAGACAGTGTCTGGCAGTCATCTGGCCTGTGTTATAGCGCAGCTGTACCATTAGAACCAGTATGAAGACAGTGTCTGGCAGTCATCTGGCCTGTGTTATAGTGCAGCTGTACCATTAGAACCAGTATGAAGACAGTGTCTTGCAGTCATCTGGCCTGTGTTATGGTGCAGCTGTACCATTAGAACCAGTATGAAGACAGTGTCTGGCAGTCATCTGGCCTGTGTTATGGTGCAGCTGTACCATTAGAACCAGTATGAAGACAGTGTCTGGCAGTCATCTGGCCTGTGTTATAGTGCAGCTGTACCATTAGAACCAGTATGAAGACAGTGTCTTGCTAGTCATCTGGCCTGTGTTATAGTGCAGCTGTACCATTAGAACCAGTATGAAGACAGTGTCTGGCAGTCATCTGGCCTGTGTTATAGTGCAGCTGTACCATTAGAACCAGTATGAAGACAGTGTCTTGCAGTCATCTGGCCTGTGTTATAGTGCAGCTGTACCATTAGAACCAGTATGAAGACACAGTGTCTAGCAGAGATCTGTCCTGTGTTATAGTGCAGCTGTACCATCAAACTATCAACTCTCACTATAATCATACAGAGGTTGACATTCTCCCCAGACCTATCCACCATCCTACCCACCTCTACACGTATGGTAGGTCAGAGTATGTATACTCCTGTCAGAGTGAAACCTCAGCCACTTCGTTAGAAGGGCTCCTGTCGACTTGGGGCATGGAAGCAAACCTGGGTTAAAGTAGTATAATAAAGACGGGACAGCTTCTGTGGCAGACAGACAGATGCTGTAGATATAACAACACATCAACTACATCAACCAAATGTATTTCTTGTAAATGTCACCAATGCACCAATCATCTTTATTGTTCAGACAACTGTGTGCCCGGCAGATGCACAACAAAATGGAATATCATCATGTTAAAGACAAAAACATCTTTATCAAAACAATCATATAAGAAAATGAAATAACAAATTGCAAGAAAAAGCAACAACCAAAATATGGTGCCATTATTCGCCTCGATAGAAGATATTGTGCTGTATTGCTGCTGTTGCTGTTGTGTGCCTTCAACATTCCGATGTATAAACCACTTGTATGAAAGAAAATGTGTTTATCACAGTAGTTGAGATTCAGTGTTGCACTTGTGCTGCAGGTAAATGGAATCCAAGAGTGGTAAAACCATCACATCCGGGTATTCCTGGCCCTTATGTTTTACCGCTACTGAAGTGCCAACCTCTGACAGTGGTGGTCTGGTCAGACTGTAACAGAAAAAACATTGCTATGACAAGCCGTTCCCCATGTTTTACCGTATTGTCATCAGTAATTCTTCATATCACTATTTGCCGTGTACACTTGTAGAGATATGTAAAGTTAGTCAAATATGACCAGCTGAGCAGATTATTCATGTCCATGAGAATTGCCGACCTAAGCAGATTGTCAGGCGGCAGACGGCATGCCAGGGACAAGGAGGATCTGTACACCCGGCGTCCCCGGCCGTTAACATTCCAGTCACACGCACATATTGTTCTGAGTGTAGATACTGGAGAAAGTTTCGTCAAACGAGTGTCATTTATGCATTGGGATATGATGATATATATACACATGGAAGAAAGTATAACAATACCTTTCCTACTCTCACATAGCCTTTTATATTCTAATATAATTATGTTTGTATGATTTGTGTACCCTTCGGATATGCACGTGCTACGAGTGCTGGCGAGTCCTTGAGGACTACTGCAAGTAAGAGACGTTGACTTCAGAATCACAAGACCTCATCCCGCCATGTCAGTTGTAAACAGTGTGGCGTTTGTGCCGACATCGCCTATAATCGACAGGGTATGGAGCCATAACGTTCTCTGCCATGGCTAATGGTAACACATTGATACTGTGAAAAACTATGGTGTGCAACTACTGAGTCTGACATCCATGTCACCTATTTTGACAAGCTGTATAGGGAAACCTACCTGAGGTCTAACCCTGTACATTAAAACATACTCGTGGTCCAACCCTGTACTGAGAATGCTACACGAGGTCCAACTCTGTACAGGAAAACGTACCCAAGGGCCAGTACTGAATACAGAAACCTACCTGCAGTTTCGTTGCTGGGAGAGGAATGATTTGATATTACGCCACGCACTCTATCATCCAGAGCGACCTTGTACATGGAGGTAGACGTGTCCAGTCTACACTAGGGTAGACCGTGTGGCCGCTACTTGTATTGCGATGTTTGAAGTCAGGCCGATCTGGAGACAGCCATGTGCCCCATCCACAGTGACGGGCAGATCCAGCAGCATCCCCACACATGGAGCCGTGTACCTGTTTATAGTCCACATTTTCAACATGTTTTAGTAACTACCCGGACCTTGTAACGTAATCAAACATCCTTAGCGTGTTTCAAAAGCATAAAGCAAAGCAACTACACACCGTAACACTCACCAACTATACACCGTAACACTCACCAACTATACACCGTAACACTCACCAACTACACCCCACCTATACACCGTAACACTCACCAACTACACACCACCTATACACCGTAACACTCACCAACTACACACCACCTATACACCGTAACACTCACCAACTACACCGTAACACTCACCAACTACACACCGTAACACTCACCAACTACACACCACCTATACACCGTAACACTCACCAACTATACACCGTAACACTCACCAACTATACACCGTAACACTCACCAACTACACCCCACCTATACACCGTAACACTCACCAACTACACACCACCTATACACCGTAACACTCACCAACTACACACCGTAACACTCACCAACTATACACCGTAACACTCACCAACTACACACCACCTATACACCGTAACACTCACCAACTACACACCACCTATACACCGTAACACTCACCAACTATACACCGTAACACTCACCAACTACACACCGTAACACTCACCAACTACACACCACCTATACACCGTAACACTCACCAACTACACACCGTTACACTCACCAACTATACACCGTAACACTCACCAACTACACACACACACCTATACACCGTAACACTCACCAACTATACACCGTAACACTCACCAACTATACACCGTAACACTCACCAACTATACACCGTAACACTCACCAACTATACACGTAACACTCACCAATACACCGTAACACTCACCAACTATACACCGTAACACTCACCAACTATACACGTAACACTCACCAACTATACACCGTAACACTCACCAACTATACACCGTAACACTCACCAACTATACACGTAACACTCACCTACTATACACCAGCTATACACCGTAACACTCACCGACTCTACACCGTAACACTCACCAACTATACACGTAACACTCACCGACTCACCAACTATGCACAGTAACACTCACCAACTATACACCGTAACACTCACCAACTATACACCGTAACACTCACCAACTATACACTGTAACATTCACCAACTATACACCGTAACACTCACCAACTATACACCGTAACACTCACCTACTATACACCAGCTATACACCGTAACACTCACCAACTATACACCGTAACACTCACCAACTATACACCGTAACACTCACCAACTATACACGTAACACTCACCGACTATACACGTAACACTCACCATTGGATGGGGTAAGCGGTTGACAGTGCACAGAAATGCTTCTTTCCATGCTGAGCCAAATTACTGTCTTGTTTGCGAAATCAAGACAATATGTATATACGTAGTACTCGTGTCAATTTATCAGTACCACAGCTGTCAGTTCTATAACCACACCATCAGGTACACTCACATTACTAATTAAGGATGAGTGAATAACTGTTATTCATTACCAGTGAATACCTTCGAAGCATTAAAGCTGTCTGTCCCTGAGAAGAACCTGTTTGAGAAGACTTCCTGTTGTGGTCTGTGAAGCGGTCGTAAAGGCAGGTACTGCTTTGCGTTTCTCGTATCTGGACACAACCGCCCGTCTTGCAGCAGCGTGCTCGCTTTCCATCACGACGTAGATCAGCACACACTCACACGTCATCATGACGAGGAGGAACACCGCCAGACGCCATTGGTCCCGACGACAATGTGCCATCCTGTAACGTAAACCCCCCTAACCTTGTCAACGTACACCAAAAAACAATCCTTAGATTTCGTGCTAATCAGACAATAAATGCACGCGCCAGTACAGATTATTATGATCTGTCATGTTTGATAAATGGCTGGTAATGACAAATCATATTGGCTGTAGGCTAACAGTGTTAAACTGTAACAGAAAACTATATTTTACTGTTCTGCATATGAATGTATTTGATGCTGTCTTATACATACACTGACCACGTCCTCATTCTGAGACGAGGACACCTACAGGTGCTTGATATAGTGACCCACTCCTGCATCGTGTCCATACATATATTCCTGTACGCCCCCGTTCTGCCGAGACATCTTCATCCAAACACGGACACCCTGCTCCTCCCCCACCCCTGCATGCCATGTACAAAATCAATGCTGCCCCTAGTACATGTGCAAGTCTTGATGACCCCCTACCTACCTCCCCAGAACAAAATGGGTGGCCCCACCTTAAAATCCTCCTCACCCCCAACCCCGCTATAAATTAAGAACGGTCCCTTACCGATGATTTTGAGTTTTTATTATTTATAGATATGCTGCTACGCGTACAGTTTAACGGTATAGTTTTGTTCAAAGCCAAGATTAAATTTCCGCAAAGGTTGCTACTTTCATCATCGCGCATAAGATTTTGAAAATAAAGCCCAGAGAACCCATTGTGTGTGTCTAGATGTATATATTGGGACCACTGACTGGATTGCAGCGTTAGTTACCGACACAGGATCCACTGACGGTCACAAGGCGGAGACAAACTAATTCATTTATGAGGACCCGTGAAGGTCCGGGTTAGAATGTACCTTCAGTAATCCATGCTTGTCGTAAGAGGCGATTAACGGGATCGGGTGGTCAGGCTCGCTGACTGGGTTGACACATGTCATCGGTTCCCAATTGGGCAGATCGATGTGTTGTCCACTGGATTGTCTGGTACAGACTCGAGTATTTACAGACCGCCGCCATAAAGCTGGAATATTGCTGAGTGCGGCGTAAAACTTAACTCACTCATTTTATGAGGCCTGCATGCACGCCTTCGACTGTCTCCGGGTTCATATCGCCACGATGACAGTTTACTGGTGCACTCTGTGGTGTTCGATTATAATGACATCGACGCTGTATTGTCAGATATGTTTTTATGGAATGTAGTCAATGAGCTGTGTATTTGCGTTTATGTATTTTATATCGGTTTGGTTCACTTAGTACACATTTCATTGATCCCGTAGCAACACGGTCGATAAAGCGCGATATGATTCACTTATTGAACACCTTAGAATTATTAATACACTGTCTACACGTCGGTGTCAATGACCCTGCTCTGTAGACTCGTTGCTGTAACCAAGACGAATGCGCCTCACTCAACGTAAATGATAAAATAAGCAGAAACAGAAAACACACGTAGATATCAACTGAGAAGAAACACAGACCAGCCAATCAACTACCGCCGCTACTGGACACAGCTCGATAACATAACATACCAATGTTGAAGATGGCGGCCGACTCCTGGTGGCGAAGGACGCAGTCTGGCGTGGAAGTGCTCCCCTTCTTGAGAGGGAAGAGGACGTGGCGGCCGGTCTGATGCACATTGATCCGTTTATCGATCAGTACAGCCTAGACACGTTCTCCCCGTGCAGATACAGCGAGGCGTGCACGAGGAACGTTAACATATATTCTCGTAACGTCCCTGCCTGCAATACAGAGCCCTCACAGCTGCTGGCGGCATGGCGTGGTGTTGTGCCACATTACGACAAGAATAATGATGGCGATGCACAGTCACAGGCGAATCTCGGGAGACACCGATGTACACCGACTGTTCCAGGTATCCACTGTTAATGGACACAACAAGGTCTCCGCACACAGTCGTACTATGCTCATACTATCGACTGCAGCAGGCAATGGCCTAGTAACTCACAGGGGATTGAGGCCCGCATTAACCAATTGATCATACTCGGAGATTTAAGTATCTCACAAAATATGCTTGTGACGTCATCCTATTGTTCTATATGTGAGTGAGTGAGCTTTTTGCAATATTCCAGCAATTTTAATATCACGGCGGGGAACACCAGAAATGGGCTTCGCACATTGTACCCATGTGGGGAATCGAACCCGGTGTAGCAGCCCAGAATAACCCCCACCAGATTATACCCCGGGGTAAACTATAGGCTAGCCAAGTTTATACCCCGGGGGTATATTCTGGACCAGGCCAAAGTATACCCCTCCAGCCCAGACTATACCCCTAAAAAATTATGTTGACAATTCACTCAATATGTGTGTGTGACTCCGGGCAATGGTCTTGGTGTCATTTAAAGGAATTTGTAGGTGCATTTCATTTACATTACTGCATAATACAAACTTTTATCAAGTATTTGTTGAGTACCTCTCTGGTATGTGATGTTTTCGACTTTGCGTAACGTAGTTTATTTAGTGTCGCACGCACAACTGAGGTTTTTCGGCGACGGGGTAGTACACTTATTAAGAAATGAGGGGGGACAAAAAAATTGAAATTTTGAAAGAGTGGTGTTACTACCTAAAAAAACACAAAAAAAACTGAGTCTTAAGGTCTTCGGCGTGACAAGCAAACGATTTAACCACAAGGCTACCCCACCGCCCCTTTCTTTGTGTGAAAGTTGTCCGGCAGTATTACATCCTGAACAACCACACGTCCCTTTACTGTTTGTCGGCCACAGTCGGCGTTCTTGTGCATGCATCACATGACTGTGGAATTAATTATGTCGGAGAAAGCTCGGTATTCGTTGATAAAATGAACGAGATTTCAAAGTGACCCAGTCTTCCAGTCTGACATATGGGAGTGACATGTTTCTACCGACCAGAGCAGTGTTTAGTTCAGTATAGAAATGACATGTTTTTACCCGCCAGTTAATGACTTGACTGTGTTTGTGATGTACTTCCACGACAATGTCTTGTGTCAAAAACATGCCGGGTAACAAGACCAGTGCATCCTAAATAAGTGTGACAGGGTTAATGTGTGTATGATGATGACGGGATTCGTGTGTGTATGATAAGTATGACAGAGCTTGTGTATAAGTGTGACAGGGTTAATGTGTGTATAATGATGACGGGATTCGTGTGTGTATGATAAGTATGACAGAGCTTGTGTATAAGTGTGACAGGGTTAATGTGTGTATAATGACGGGATTCGTGTGTGTATGATAAGTATGACAGAGCTCGTGTATAAGTGTGACAGGGTTAATGTGTGTATAATGATGACGGGATTCGTGTGTGTATGATAAGTATGACAGAGCTTGTGTATAAGTGTGACAGGGTTAATGTGTGTATAATGACGGGATTCGTGTGTGTATGATAAGTATGACAGAGCTTGTGTATAAGTGTGACAGGGTTAATGTGTGTATAATGATGACGGGATTCGTGTGTGTATGATAAGTATGACAGAGCTCGTGTATAAGTGTGACAGGGTTAATGTGTGTATAATGATGACGGGATTCAGTGTGTGTGATAATGATAAGTATGACAGAGCTCGTGTATAAGTGTGACAGGGTTAATGTGTGTATAATGATGACGGGATTCGTGTGTGTATGATAAGTATGACAGAGCTTGTGTATAAGTGTGACAGGGTTAATGTGTGTATAATGATGACGGATTCGTGTGTGTATGATAAGTATGAGCTTGTGTATAAGTGTGACAGGGTTAATGTGTGTATAATGATGACGGGATTCGTGTGTGTATGATAAGTATGACAGAGCTCGTGTATAAGTGTGACAGGGTTAATGTGTGTATAATGATGACAGGATTCGGATTCGTGTGTGTATGATAAGTATGACAGAGCTTGTGTATAAGTGTGACAGGGTTAATGTGTGTATAATGATGACGGGATTCGTGTGTGTATAATGACGGGATTCGTGTGTGTATGATAAGTATGACAGAGCTCGTGTATAAGTGTGACAGGGTTAATGTGTGTATAATGATGACGGGATTCGTGTGTGTATGATAAGTATGACAGAGCTTGTGTATAAGTGTGACAGGGTTAATGTGTGTATAATGATGACGGGATTCGTGTGTGTATGATAAGTATGACAGAGCTTGTGTATAAGTGTGACAGGGGGTTAATGTGTGTGTATAATGATGACAGGATAAGTGTGACACAGGGTTAATGTATGATAATGATGACAGGATTCATGACAGAGCTTGTGTATAATGTGTGACAGGGTTAATGTGTGTATAATGATGAATGGGATTCGTGTGTGTATGATAAGTATGACAGAGCTCGTGTATAAGTGTGACAGGGTTAATGTGTGTATAATGATGACAGGGATTCGTGTGTGTATGATAAGTATGACAGAGCTTGTGTATAAGTGTGACAGGGTTAATGTGTGTATAATGATGACGGGATTCGTGTATGTATGATAAGTATGACAGAGCTCGTGTATAAGTGTGACAGGGTTAATGTGTGTATAATGATGACGGATTCGTGTGTGTATGATAAGTATGACAGAGCTTGTGTATAAGTGTGACAGGGTTAATGTGTGTATAATGATGACAGGATTCGTGTGTGTATGATAAGTATGACAGAGCTCGTGTATAAGTGTGACAGGGTTAATGTGTGTATAATGATGACGGGATTCGTGTGTGTATGATAAGTATGACAGAGCTCGTGTATAAGTGTGACAGGGTTAATGTGTGTATAATGATGACGGGATTCGTGTGTGTGTATGATAAGTATGACAGAGCTCGTGTATAAGTGTGACAGGGTTAATGTGTGTATAATGATGACGGGATTCGTGTGTGTATGATAAGTATGACAGAGCTCGTGTATAAGTGTGACAGGGTTAATGTGTGTATAATGATGACAGGATTCGTGTGTGTATGATATAAGTATGACAGAGCTGTGTGTATAAGTGTGACAGGGTTAATGTGTGTATAATGATGACGGGATTCGTGTGTGTATGATAAGTATGACAGAGCTCGTGTATAAGTGTGACAGGGTTAATGTGTGTATAATGATGACGGGATTCGTGTGTGTATGATAAGTATGACAGAGCTTGTGTATAAGTGTGACAGGGTTAATGTGTGTATAATGATGACGGGATTCGTGTGTGTATGATAAGTATGACAGAGCTTGTGTATAAGTGTGACAGGGTTAATGTGTGTATAATGATGACGGGATTCGTGTGTGTATGATAAGTATGACAGAGCTTGTGTATAAGTGTGACAGGGTTAATGTGTATAATGATGACGGGATTCGTGTGTGTATGATAAGTATGACAGAGCTTGTGTATAAGTGTGACAGGGTTAATGTGTGTATAATGATGACGGGATTCGTGTGTGTATGATAAGTATGACAGAGCTCGTGTATAAGTGTGACAGGGTTAATGTGTGTATAATGATGACGGGATTCGTGTGTGTATGATAAGTATGACAGAGCTCGTGTATAAGTGTGACAGGGTTAATGTGTGTGTATAGTATGATGACTCGTGGATTCAGGGTTAATGTGTGTATGATAAGTATGATAGACAGGCTCGTGTATAAGTGTGACAGGGTTAATGTGTGTATAATGATGACGGATTCGTGTGTGTATGATATGATGACAGAGCTCGTGTATAAGTGTGACAGGGTTATGTGTAAGTAATGATGACAGGGATTCGTGTGTATGATAAGTATGACAGAGCTCGTGTATAAGTGTGACAGGGTTAATGTGTGTATAATGATGACAGGATTCGTGTGTGTATGATAAGTATGACAGAGCTCGTGTGTATAAGTGTGACAGGGTTAATGTGTGTATAATGATGACAGGATTCGTGTGTGTATGATAAGTAATCGTAGAGCTCGTGTATAAGTGTGACAGGGTTAATGTGTGTATAATGATGACGGGATTCGTGTGTGTATGATAAGTATGACAGAGCTCGTGTATAAGTGTGACAGGGTTAATGTGTGTATAATGATGACGGGATTCGTGTGTGTATGATAAGTATGACAGAGCTCGTGTATAAGTGTGACAGGGTTAATGTGTGTATAATGATGACGGGATTCGTGTGTGTATGATAAGTATGACAGAGCTCGTGTATAAGTGTGACAGGGTTAATGTGTGTATAATGATGACAGGATTCGTGTATGATAAGTATGACAGAGCTCGTGTATAAGTGTGACAGGAGTTAATGTGTGTATAATGATGACAGGATTCGCGTGTGTATGATAAGTATGACAGAGCTCGTGTATAAGTGTGACAGGGTTAATGTGTGGATATAATGACAGGATTCGTGTGTGTATGATAAGTACGACGGAGGCTCGTGTATAAGTGTGACAGGGTTAATGTGTGTATAATGATGACGGGATTCGCGTGTGTATGATAAGTATGACAGAGCTCGTGTATAAGTGTGACAGGGTTAATGTGTGTATAATGACGGGATTCGACGTATGATAAGTATGACAGAGCTTGTGTATAAGTGTGACAGGGTTAATGTGTGTATAATGACGACGGATTCGTGTGTGTATGATAAGTATGACAGAGCGTGTATAAGTGTGATATAATTCGTGTGTGATGATAAGGGTTGTGTAAGTGACAGGGTTGCATGTATAATGACGACGGATTCGTGTGTGTATGATAAGTATGACGGAGCTCGTAGTGTGACAGGGTTAAGAGACAGGATTCGTGTGTATGATAAGTATGACGGAGGGTATAAGTGTGACAGGGTTAATGTGTGTATAATGATGACGGGATTCGTGTGTGTATGATAAGTATGACAGAGCTCGTGTATAAGTGTGACAGGGTTAATGTGTGTATAATGACGGGATTCGTGTGTGTATGATAAGTATGACAGAGCTCGTGTATAAGTGTGACAGGGTTAATGTGTGTATAATGACGGGATTCGTGTGTGTATGATAAGTATGACAGAGCTTGTGTATAAGTGTGACAGGGTTAATGTGTGTATAATGATGACGGGATTCGTGTGTGTATGATAAGTATGACAGAGCTTGTGTATAAGTGTGACAGGGTTAATGTGTGTATAATGATGACGGGATTCGTGTGTGTATGATAATGTATGACAGAGCTTGTGTATAAGTGTGACAGGGTTAATGTGTGTATAATGATGACGGGATTCGTGTGTGTATGATGATAAGTATGACAGAGCTCGTGTATAAGTGTGACAGGGTTAATGTGTGTATAATGATGACCAGGATTCGTGTGGATTAAGTATGTGTATGTATGACAGGGATAAGTATGACAGGATTCGTGTGTGTATGATAAGAGCTCGTGTATAAGTGTGACAGGGTTAATGTGTGTATAATAATGATTCGTGTGTGTATGATAAGTATGACAGAGCTCGTGTATATAAGTGTGACAGGGTTAATGTGTGTATAATGATGACAAGGATTCGTGTGTGTATTATGATAAGTATGACAGAGCTTGTGTATAAGTGTGACAGGGTTAATGTGTGTATAATGATGACGGGATTCGTGTGTGTATGATAAGTATGACAGAGCTTGTGTATAAGTGTGACAGGGTTAATGTGTGTATAATGATGACGGGATTCGTGTGTGTATGATAAGTATGACAGAGCTCGTGTATAAGTGTGACAGGATTATGTGTGTATAATGATGAGCCAGGATTCGTGTGTGTATGATAAGTATGACAGAGCTTGTGTATAAGTGTGACAGGGTTAATGTGTGTATAATGATGACAGGATTCGTGTGTGTATGATAAGTATGACAGAGCTCGTGTGTATAAGTGTGACAGGAGTTAATGTGACAGTATTATTATAATGACGGGATTCGTGTGTGTATGATAAGTATGACAGAGCTCGTGTATAAGTGTGACAGGGTTAATGTGTGTATAATGACGGGATTCGTGTGTGTATGATAAGTATGACAGAGCTCGTGTATAAGTGTGACAGGGTTAATGTGTGTATAATGATGACAGGATTCGTGTGTGTATGTATGATAAGTATGACAGAGCTTGTGTATAAGTGTGACAGGGTTAATGTGTATATAATGACAGGATTCGTGTGTGTATGATAAGTATGATATGACAGAGCTTGTGTATAAGTGTGACAGGTTAATGTGTGTGTATAATGACGGATTCGTGTGTGATGATACAGACAGAGCTCGTGTATAAGTGTGACAGGGTTAATGTGTAATATAATGATGGAGATTCGTGTGTGTATGATAAGTATGACAGAGATTAATGTATAAGTGTGACAGGGTTAATGTGTATAATGACGGATTCGTGTGTGTATGATAAGTATGACAGAGCTCGTGTATAAGTGTGACAGGGTTAATGACGGTATAATGTATGATGAGTATGACAGAGCTTGTGTATAAGTGATAAGTATGAAGAGCGTGTATAATGTGACAGGGTTAATGTGTGTATGATAAGTATGACAGGGCTTGTGTATAAGTGTGACAGGATTAATGTATATGATAAGTATGACAGAGCTTGTGTATAAGTGTGACAGGGTTAATGTGTGTATAATGATGACAGGGATTCGTGTGTGGATTCGTGTGTGTATGATAAGTATGACAGAGCTTGTGTATAAGTGTGACAGTGTATTAAGTATGTGTGTATAAGTGTGATGACGGATTCGTGTGTGTATGATAAGTATGACAGAGCTTGTGTATAAGTGTGACAGGGTTAATGTGTGTATAATGATGACGGGATTCGTGTGTGTATGATAAGTATGACAGAGCTTGTGTATAAGTGTGACAGGGTTAATGTGTGTATAATGATGACGGGATTCGTGTGTGTATGATAAGTATGACAGAGCTCGTGTATAAGTGTGACAGGATTAATGTGTGTATAATGATGACAGGGATTCGTGTGTGTATGATAAGTATGGCAGAGCTTGTGTATAAGTGTGACAGGGTTAATGTGTGTATAATGATGACGGGATTCGTGTGTGTATGATAAGTATGACAGAGCTCGTGTATAAGTGTGACAGGATTAATGTGTGTATAATGATGACGGGATTCGTGTGTGTATGATAAGTATGACAGAGCTTGTGTATAAGTGTGACAGGGTTAATGTGTGTATAATGATGACGGATTCGTGTGTGTATGATAAGTATGACAGAGCTTGTGTATAAGTGTGACAGGGTTAATGTGTGTATAATGATGACGGGATTCGTGTGTGTATGATAAGTATGACAGAGCTCGTGTATAAGTGTGACAGGGTTAATGTGTGTATAATGATGACGGGATTCGTGTGTGTATGATAAGTATGACAGAGCTCGTGAATAAGTGTGACAGGGTTAATGTGTGTATAATGATGACGGGATTCGTGTGTGTATGATAAGTATGACAGAGCTCGTGTATAAGGGTGACAGGGTTAATGTGTTTATGATAAGGCTGATAGGGTTAATGAATGAGTGGGTGTAGTTTTACGCCGCATTCAGCAATATTCCAGCTATATGGCGGCGGTCTGTAAATAATCCGAGTCTGGACCAGACAATCCAGGGATCAACAGCATGAACATCGATCTACGCAATTGGGATACGATGACATGTGTCAACCAAGTCAGCGAGCCTGACCACCCGATCCCGTTGGTCGCCTCTTACGACAAGCATGGGGTACTGAAGATCAATTCTAACTCGGACCTTCACGGGTCGATAGGGCTAATGTGTGTATGATAAGCCTGGCGGGATGAATATGTCTATGATAAAGTGTTCATGTGTCTATTATAAGAATGGCGGGGTTAATGCGTCTATGATAAGGATGGTAGGGTTAATGCGTCAATGATAAGGATGATAGGGTTAATGCGTCTATGATAAGAATGGCAGGGTTAATGCGTCTATGACAAGGAGGGCAGGGTTAATGCGTCAATGATAAGGATGGTTTGGTTAATGTGTCTATGATAAGGATGGTAGGGTTAATGTGTCTATGATAAGGATGGTAGGGTTAATGCGTCAGTGATAAGGATGGCAGGGTTAATGTGTCTATGATAAGGATGGTAGGGTTAATGCGCCTATGATAAGGGTGACAGGGCCAACGTGTCTATAATAAGGATGGTAGGGTTAATGTGTCTATGATAAGGATGATAGGGTTAATGTGTCTATGATAAGGATGGTAGGGTTAATGCGTCTATGATAAGGATGGTAGGGTTAATGCGTCTATGATAAGGATGATAGGGTTAATGTGTCTATGATAAGGATGATAGGGTTATTGCGTTTATGATAAGGATGGTAGGGTTCATGCGTCTACGAGTGAGTGCGTTTAGTTTTATGCCCCACTCAGCAATATTACAGCTATATAGCGGCAGTCTGGACCAGACAATCCAGTGATCAACAGCAACAGCATCGATCTGCGCAATTGGGATACGATGACATGTGGTCAACAAAGTCAGCGAGCCTGACCACCCGATCCCGTTAGTCGCCTCTTACAACAACCACGGGTTACTGGAGATCAATTCTAACCCGGTACTTCTATCATAAGGATTTATGCGTCTATTATAAGGATGGTAGGGTTAATGTGTCTATGATAAGGACACCAGGGTTCGTGTGTATATAGGTACATGTAAGCATGTTCATTTGTACAAAGTGAGTGTTCCACGCTTGTAATGTGATTGATAAGATTCAAGGCGAAACTGAAAAAACATGAATATTTTATTTGACGTGACACTATTGCCCGTGACTTATCAACGAAACGTAACAATGTATATTTGGAAAAGTTGGGTGTAGGTGAAGACGATGCGCCTACGTATGTCCTAGTCACTTTGTGAACGCAGATTACCTGCCACAACAAATAATTTCAACGCCGGCAAGTAAAATTACAAGATGTGATTAACATGGATATATAGAAAGGGAAAGCGGAAGAAGCTGAAAGAAGACTGTGGGCGTACCCTGTTGACTGATAGGGTGTTATATATAACACAAATATGTACAGCTTTGATCATTAACGTCTAGCCTCATAATTAATTAGGAGAATGACCGCAAGAGCCCTTAGGATTTGGTCAGAGCATTTCGGCCTGATATGGCCTACAGCACCATTGTAACAATCTTTTATAACGTATGTTATATTACAGACATATGATGACAGTCCATCTGAGACAATAATTATTCAGATATTACATTTGTACATGATCAATGATGTGCGGTGAGTCTCAGGTCTTGACGAGTAGTCCCATCGTACATTCGGGTCCTCAGTCGCCAGACACTGCGCGGCAGAGACAGAAGGACGTGATTGACACCATTATCTGTAAAATCAAACCAGCAGACGACGACGACGTCGGCCCGGCAGAGTAGGCTCCTCACAGCTACACATACTTATCTGAGCTGCTCCGACACATGCAGATGGACAGCACAATGACCAGCAGCTGAAACACAGAGGAGGACTTGCAAGCAGCGGGACACACGGTTCATACAGGTCGACAAAAGCACTTACATGTATGAACAAATAGTGAACTGTGTCAATATTTTAATGATAGTTTGTTACACAAATTCTTTTATTTGTGGGCCATAAATTCTGCAAAAACCTCGCAGATTTGGTCTGTTTTGATTATGATCAACATTTCATTGAGTGTTTTATGTTTTTTAGTTTTCGAGTTAGATTGCAATTCATCGGTCGGCTTTAGAGGCAAAGGGACTAGCTGCTTGGCTTTGACTTTACACATACACGTACCTCTATCAGGAATATAGTGACACCAACTCCAATAGCTACGTATTTGTAGTGGTCAACGAAGTCCAGCAGACTGGTGTAGCAGCCCTGGAACGAAACCCATATTACATCAGGCTAGATACACTAATGTTAATGTACTCTAAGTACAGACACGTCGTTCGTTTCTTTGTTAACGCCGCACTCTGCAATATTCTAGCTAGCCTAACCGCCCGATAACGTTAAGATTACATGCATTTGTTTTCATTGATTGGCATTCTAGAAGTTGAGGACAATGTTTTATGGATATACAACTCTTTATTCTGTATTTGCGACGTTTGGACATAGCTTGGCTTGACAACAACATTAGAATCTATGTCGAAGCGTCGCCTATACAGAATAAAGAAGGTAAGGTGAGGTAAGGAGGTGAGGTGAAATTTGGCTTAACGTCGTGCTTGAGAATATTTCGCTCATATGACGACGTGCATGCGTGTGTATGTGTATGTGCGGCTGCTTGTACTAGCCCAGACTTAAACTGGTTTTATAGTGCTAGCCCACTGAGATGCCATGCCGCAGTGAAGCATGAATACCCCACTTACACACATTATACTGACTCCGAGCCGACCAGTCCTTGTTGTACCCATTAATGCCGAGCGCCAGGCAGGGACCAACAAGTACCATATTTTAAGGTCTTTTGGTATGACGCGGTCGGGGATCGAACCCGCGACCTTTCGCTCTCCGGGCGGACGCTCTAACCACTACACAACGGAGGCGGACCAGAATAAAGAATAAAGAAGTTGTATATCCATAAAAATTGTGCTCATTCTACATGCATGTGTACATACATGAGGCGTAGGTAAAGTAACATACTCACACTAGTATAGGCATACTCGCTGTCCATGCTGGTGAGGCTCAAACACTTCTGTATGTCTGCATTAGTGAACGTGGTGTTTGAAATATCTTCGTAGTTTGTCTTCTTACAGCAGGCCACGGGGATTTTCTTTTGGGTATTACGCGGGTCCCAGTTTGTGTGAATATCGAGGTCCTGGAAGTCCGTGTAGTTGTCGACGCCGCAACATTGGAACTGGATGGACACAACGAGTTGTCTGTTATTGGTCTATAAGTCTAGTGTGTGCACTCTGTATGTCATGTGTATGTCTAACGCCATCAGGGTAAGGCCGTAAGCAGTGTGCGAAATAGCCACTGGCCCGCTAGCCTTTGGCTAGTAAAACTCCAGTCGACTGGCTGGTGAATTCTCATGGGGGTCATATGGTAAATATATCACACTCTCCGACTTGTTAAGTTATAATACACTTTTTAATGATGAAACCCGTGTCTACATTCAAATTTCGGGCTAGTGAATTATTTGTGGGCTAGTAACCGACTGGCTAGAAAAAGTTGGAAACAAATATTGCGTCTCCTATCTTCGATCACGCCAGAACGACTGGCACGTGGACAAATCACAATAATAATCATTATCAAAATAAGATGTCATACCAAAGGGCAGCGTAGCTGTGGCCTTTATTGCGTGTAGGCAACATTGAACATATCTTTGACAAGAAATTTAGCGAGGATTTTTGGGATAATGGTTCCCGTAACTATGGTCGTGAAGAGTGTTATATATAATGCTCTGCGAAAATATAACCACACTGTTAGTCGGATGTTCCCCAAAACTACCACGTTAAAGACAAATTACAGCACTAGGGGGGTGGGGGTGGGGATGGTGGTTGGTTCAATGAAGACAACCAATGTTCCAGGAACGTAATCACGCCGGTCTCTCCTGATATACGTCGGATCCTCCCGATAGGCGCCATGCATAGACCACCAGACGTTGTAGCCAACATAATTGTTACGGACGCTATGACAACACACCTGTATGCAGCTCTGGATAACTGGGATCACTTTAACCGGATCCTGCTGCTTAACGGGGAACAAGGTGTTACATAACACAAAGGGCGTCAGCAATATTCAGATGCAGTCTACTTACGGTGGAAAAGATGGCGTCAAAGGATTTATCTTTAGCATTCTTTTGGGCAACGGAAGTCGTGGTATCCTTTCAGCGCACCTCTTAAGCCTGTTTCCATGACATTCTTTGCCTAGAAACACAAGCAACTGGTGAGTAGTGTGCAGAAGGGCGCTGGTATTGTATACTTCAAGGTATTACAGGTAATTGTATACTTCAAGGTATTACAGGTAATTGTATACTTCAAGGTATTACAGGTAATTGTATACTTCAAGGTATTACAGGTAATTGTATACTTCAAGGTATTACAGGTAATTGTATACTTCAAGGTATTACAGGTAATTGTATACTTCAAGGTATTACAGGTAATTGTATACTTCAAGGTATTACAGGTAATTGTATACTTCAAGGTATTACAGGTAATGTAGGAACAAGAAATACATTCAGTTTTGGTCTGTGAGTCTGAGTGCAACTAGTAACTCGTCTACTACGTGTACGTTATTACCACCTCTGGCTTGAAGAGGATGGGTTGCGACAGCTGGACTCAAGACAATATACAGTGCAGAAGATCACAAGGCCAAGTTAAGGGCCTGCAATAGACCGGCGGGGACACCAGAAATGGGCTTAACACAGGAACAGTACCGAGGAACAGTACCGAGGAACGCTTTAACCACTAGGCTACCCCACCGCCCCCAGTACCGAGGAACAGTACCGGGCACGCTATGCCGAGTGTCAATAACATCATCGAAAGATTAAGCATCAATAAACGAGATATTAATCCATTTGCAAAAGCTGGGTTTCGCCAGTAAAGAAATGGTGATTTGTAAAATTGTTATCATTGCATCAATTCTTCACTTTTGAACACAATTCTTATGGCTTTTGTAGAATCATACATGATAATGATATGTACAAACGCGATTCCATAAGTTCGGACACGAGTAAACAATTCGTCACATATTCACACTGCACGTAGGGGGGAGTGAATTCAAACAGAGCAAATCAAAGACATGCTGCTATTGTTAAAGGATCTTTGTTGACGCCAAACCTGCTAAAAGGTATGCTGCGCTTGACTGAATATAAGCGACTGCGTGCAATTATGCCTGAAACCAGAGTTGTTGCTGGGCGTTTTGTTGTTCATAGAAACATCATACAGCCACTCAGGGTCGGTAGCACCAGACTGGCAATACCAGGGACCGACCACGTTCCGGACGTCCACGAGTAACATCTGACCACCACGTCCTGCTGCCACGTCATCTACATGCACGCACGACATGGTGAAGACAGCATACATGTTAACAGAGTCCGCTTCACAAATGAGCCCATGTTTGAACTTGACAGCATGGCCAGTCTGTCATACAGACCCTGAAGCAAATATATCCAAGAAAGCCCACGCAAGTCTAGAAAATGTGGCAAGTCTAGAAAATGTTGCTGAAAATGAAGAAAGTCTCAGGGATCCTTTTCATTATATTATATTTTTTTACTATGAACTTTGCTTTTTTCTGTAAAATATGTTCTTTTCAGAGACTAGCTGTTAGTCTACAGCATTGCTTGCCGTCAGTGTTTTGTTGACGTCAGATGGAACATGAAGTTGACGGCTGTTTTGTTAACGTACTGCGGGCAGTGTTAGGAGCCTCTTCTGGTCAGATGGAACATGACGTTGACGGCTGTTTTGTTAACGTACTGCGGGCAGTGTTGGGAGCCTCTTCTGGTCAGATGGAACATGACGTTGACGGCTGTTTTGTTAACGTACTGCGGGCAGTGTTGGGAGCCTCTTCTGGTCAGATTGAAAGGTAAGTTATCTCCATGTTCTCCGTTCCTTCAGACCCATGCGCGTACCATCGCTCTAGAGCAGATCTGTCGCCCATCCGACATATGTATAATGACATAAAACACCATTTATACCAACTTTTAAATCAACTAGGGACATAGTTTCAGCTGCGATGGGTCTCGGTCCTGATCTGGCCAGACCTACCACAAGCCATCAATCTTTGGGTCCTCTGTGAGGCGCCGTTGCTTGTGTCACTGCTGGCGGTGGTCACCCAGTAGAGATAACCCACCTTGAGACCTGGATGGCCATCACAGGGGGCAATGCAGCATGCAGTCATGCTTCCTGGACATCAACATATTGTTCCGTAGCAAACTCTTTGCGTGTATTCATCCTATTCCATGTTATTCAATAAGGGCGATACCTACCACGTGTACTAGCACACGTGTCACAGCACGTTCCACACACCTGAAGACAACTCGTTTCAAACACTACTTAAGTTGACAGCTGCTCGACAGACATTGTATACTTCATGGTGTTACTAAAACAGTGTTGTCAACTGATGAAAGAGGATCAGCATGGAAATATATGTCCTTGCTGAAAATTTGGAAATGTCACCAACTGAAATTTAACGAATTAAAATTACAGCCTTATCATCGCGGAGTGTAAATTACTGTGTTGATCGGAAAAGACTGTCTGTCGTTCCATAACACACTGTAAACACACTGTAAACACACTGTAAACACACAGAATACATACCTCACTCCCCTTGGCCAGGACGACGGCCACAGCGATGATCTCCGACAGCAGGATCACACCGACAATGACGCCATACTGTAACATAGTACTATACATGTATATCACATCGACAATGAAGCCATACTGTAACACAGTACTATACATGTATATCACATCGACAATGACGCCATACTGTAACACAGTACTATACATGTATATTACACCGACAATGACGCCATACTGTAACAGTACTATACATGTATATTATACCGACAATGAAGCCATACTGTAACAGTACTATACATGTATATTATACCGACAATGACGCCATACTGTAACAGTACTATACATGTATATTACACCGACAATGAAGCCATACTGTAACACAGTACTATACATGTATATCACACCGACAATGAAGCCATACTGTAACAGTACTATACATGTATATTACACCGACAATGAAGCCATACTATAACACAGTACTACACATGTATATTACACCGACAATGAAGCCATACTGTAACACAGTACTATACATGTATATTACACCGACAATGAAGCCACTGTAACAGTACTACACATGTATATTACACCGACAATGACGCCATACTGTAAACAGTACTATACATGTATATTACACCGACAATGAAGCCATACTGTAAACAGTACTATACATGTATATTACACCGACAATGAAGCCATACTGTAACAGTACTGTATATACATGTATATTAACACCGACAATGACCGACAATGACGCCATACTGTAACAGAGTACTATACATGTATATTACACCGACAATGAAGCCATACTGTATATTATATTCCACAAGCCATACTGTAACAGTACTATACATGTATATTACACCGACAATGAAGCCATACTGTAACCCAGTACTATACATGTATATTACACCGACAATGAAGCCATACTGTAAACAGTACTACACATGTATATTATACCGACAATGAAGCCATACTGTAACACAGTACTATACATGTATATTACACCGACAATGAAGCCATACTGTAACAGTACTATACATGTATATTACACCGACAATGAAGCCATACTGTAACACAGTACTATACATGTATATTACACCGACAATGACGCCATACTGTAACACAGTACTATACATGTATATTACACCGACAATGAAGCCATACTGTAACACAGTACTATACATGTATATCACACCGACAATGACGCCATACTGTAACCAGAGACCATATAATCTGCTGTAACATAGTACTACACATACATATTACACCGACGACACCATACTGTAACATAGTACTATACATATATACAACAACAAATTACATGTATCAACTCACAATGCCGAGCAGCACCCGCCACTGACAGCAGGCTCCCAGACAGCCGAGTCCAGCGATCAGAAGGATGACGCAGCCGAAGGCAATGACGATCAGTCCGAAAGTCTCGCCAGCATACTTCAGGTTGAAGTCCACCTTATCACCGTTGTCCACCAAAGCATCTTTGAACTCGTCAAAGCCAACTTTGAAAACGATCCCAGCAATCAGGATGGCCAGCCCAAAGATCTAGAGAGGCAGGACAGTTAGAGGCATATGCTTGCGTGTAGTAGGCATTGTACGTAACGGCTATAGTGAAACACTGCCTCTCCACAGTTGGTGGTCCTTGTCGTACTACATGTATATATGCACACAGCTAAGAACGCCACTATTGTTTGGGATTTTCACATCACATCACATCACGCTCAACACAACACTAATGACGCGGCTCTCAAAGACAACATGCGCATACCATTATCATAGCACTAAACAAACCGCATTACCATGGCAACATGACAGCACGGCTGTCAAAGATACGACATTTGACTTAAAACGGATTAATTTGGCGTATATATTCCCTCTGACTCAAATTATCGGCAAGAAAGGCCTCGGCTTGATGAAATATATTGGTACCTGCTTTTAGCAGAACATACACCCTTCTCCAACAGTGAGAAAACGCGTGTCCCGCCCATTCTGCGCTACCCGTCATAACAAACACGCCTGCAGTTCACCTTTCCTCCACTTGTCTACGTTAAAACATGGAGCCTGCTGTAACAGAGGCCTTGAATTCCGTAACAGTGACGTAACAATAAACAAACAACTTATGTGGTTAGGTGGACAAGGTCGTGAGATTGTGGACAGACTGTGGTGTACTTTGATACCAGCTAATTTAAGAAAGACCTGTGATAAGGTACTTTGTCTATAAACTGACCCGACCTGAACGTATAGAGTGTATCACTGTGTGTCGCTCATGTAGGTTGTACAGTAGTGTGCCATAAACAACTCTTTCGTGTAATTATGTGATGTGTCCCGTGTTGGACATATTAGGTACTGGGTGATAGGCAGTTGCGTGTGGACATAACAGATACAGGCTGATGGACAGTGGGGTGTGGACATAACAGATACAGGCTGATGGGCAGTGGGGTGTGGACATAACAGATACAGGCTGATGGACAGTGACGTGTGGACATAACAGAAACAGGCTGATGGACAGGCTGATGGGCAGTGAGGTGTGGACATAACAGAAACAGGCTGATGGACAGTGAGGTGTGGACATAACAGAAACAGGCTGATGGACAGTGAGGTGTGGACATAACAGATACAGGCTGATGGACAGTGGGGTGTGGACATAACAGATACAGGCTGATGGACAGTGGGGTGTGGACATAACAGATACAGGCTGATGGGCAGTGAGGTGTGGACATAACAGATACAGGCTGATGGACAGTGAGGTGTGGACATAACAGATACAGGCTGATGTGAGGTGTGGACATAAGTGAGGCTGTGGACAACAGATACAGGCTGATGGACAGTGAGGTGTGGACATAACAGATACAGGCTGATGGACAGTGAGGTGTGGACATAACAGATACAGGCTGATGGACAGTGAGGTGTGGACATATAACAGATACAGGCTGATGGGCAGTGGGGTGTGGACATAACAGATACAGGCTGATGGGCAGTGAGGTGTGGACATAACAGATACAGGCTGATGGGCAGTGGGTGTGGACATAACAGATACAGGCTGATGGACAGTGAGGTGTGGACATAACAGATACAGGCTGATGGGCAGGTTTGGTGATACAGGGTGTGAGGTGTGGACATAACAGATACAGGCTGATGGGCAGTGGGGTGTGGACATAACAGAAACAGGCTGATGGACAGTGAGGTGTGGACATAACAGATACAGGCTGATGGGCAGTGGGGTGTGGACATACAGAATACAGGTTGATGGACAGTGGGAGGTGTGGACATAACAGATACAGGCTGATGGGACAGTGGGGTGTGGACATAACAGAAACAGGCTGATGGGCAGTGGGTGTGGACATAACAGACAGGCTGACAGGCTGATGGGCAGTGGGTGTGGACATAACAGATACAGGCTGATGGGCGGTGGGGTGTGGACATAACAGATACAGGCTGATGGACAGTGAGGTGTGGACATAACAGATACAGGTTGATGGACAGTGAGGTGTGGACATAACAGATACAGGTTGATGGACACTGAGGTGTGGACATAACAGATACAGGCTGATGGGCAGTGGGGTGTGGACATAACAGAAACAGGTTGATGGGCAGTGAGGTGTGGACATAACAGAAACAGGCTGATCGACGGTAACAGATACAGGCTGATGGACAGTGGGGTGTGGACATAACAGATACAGGCTGATGGGCAGTGAGGTGTGGACATAACAGATACAGGGATGGACGGTGATGGACACCAGCAGATACAGGCTGATGGGCGGTGGGGTGTGGACATAACAGATACAGGCTGATGGACAGTGAGGTGTGGACACAACAGATACAGGCTGATGGACGGTGAGGTGTGGACATAACAGATACAGGCTGATGGACAGTGAGGTGTGGACATAACAGATACAGGTTGATGGACGGTGAGGTGTGGACGGATAACAGAATACAGGCTGATGGACGGTGGGGTGTGGACATAACAGATACAGGCTGATGGACAGTGGGAGTGTGGACATAACAGAAACAGGCTGATGGACGGTGAGATGTGGACATAAAAAAAACAGGCTGATGGACAGTGAGGTGTGGACATAACAGATACAGGCTGATGGGCAGTGAGGTGTGGACATAACAGATACAGGCTGATGGGCAGTGGGGTGTGGACATAACAGAAACAGGCTGATAGTCAGTGAGGTGTGGACATAACAGAAACAGGCTGATGGGCAGTGGGGTGTGGACATAACAGAAACAGGCTGATGGGCAGTGGGTGTGGACATAACAGATACAGGCTGATGGACAGTGAGGTGTGGACATAACAGATACAGGCTGATGGACAGTGAGGTGTGGACATAACAGAAACAGGTTGATGGACAGTGAGGTGTGGACATAACAAAAACAGGCTGATGGGCAGTGGGGTGTGGACATAACAGATACAGGCTGATGGGCAGTGGGGTGTGGACATAACAGATACAGGCTGATGGACGGTGAGGTGTGGGACATGCAGAAACAGGCTGATAGGCAGTGGGGTGTGGACATAACAGATACAGGTTGATGGACGGTGAGGTGTGGACATAACAGATACAGGCTGATGGGCAGTGGGGTGTGGACACAACAGATACAGGCTGATGGGCGGTGGGTCGTGGACATGGATACAGGCTGATGGACAGTGGGGTGTGGACACTAACAGATACAGGCTGATGGGCAGTGAGGTGTGGACACGCAACAGATACAGGCTGATGGACAGTGAGGTGTGGACGCTACAGATACAGGTTGATGGGCAGTGGGGTGTGAATACAGGCTGATGGACAGTGAAGTGTGGACATAACAGATACAGGCTGATGGGCAGTGAGGTGTGGACATAACAGATACAGGCTGATGGACGGTGAGGTGTGGACACGCAACAGATACAGGCTGATGGGCAGTGAGAGGTGTGGACATAACAGATACAGGCTGATGGGCAGTGGGGTGTGGACATAACAGAAACAGGCTGATCGACAGTGGGGTGTGGACATATCAGAAACAGGCTGATGGACAGTGGGGTGTGGACATAACAGATACAGGCTGATAGGCAGTGGGGTGTGGACACTAACAGATACAGGCTGATGGACGGTGAGGTGTGGACACTGGAACAGATATAGGTTGATGGGCAGTGAGGTGTGGACACTTAACAGATACAGGTTGATGAACACTGAAGGTGTGGACACCAACAGATACAGGCTGATAGGCAGTGGGGTGTGGACACTAACAGAAACAGGTTGATAAGGCAGTGAGGTGTGGACATAGCTGCAGAAACAGGCTGATCGACAGTGAGGTGTGGACATATCAGAAACAGGCTGATGGACAGTGGGGTGTGGACATAGCAGATACAGGCTGATGGGCGAGTGAGGTTTTAAGACACTAACAGATACAGGTTGATGGACGCAGTGAGGTGTGAGACGCAACAGATACAGACTGATGAGCAGTGGGGGTGTGGACATAACAGAAACAGGCTGATGGACGGTGAGGTGTGGACACATAACAGATACAGGTTGATGGGCAGTGAGGTGTGGACATAACAGATACAGGAGGCTGATGTGGCGGTGGGGTGTGGACATAACAGAAACAGGCTGATAGTCAGTGAGGTGTGCACATAGCAGAAACAGGCTGATGGGCAGTGGGGGTGTGGACATAACAGAAACAGGCTGATGGGCAGAGGGGTGTGGACATAACAGATAGAGAGGCTGATGGACGGTGAGGTGTGAACATAACAGATACAGGCTGATGGACGGTGAGGTGTGGACATAACAGAAACAGGTTGATGGACGAAGTGAGGTTTGGACATAAAAAACAGGCTGATGGGCAGTGAGGTGTGGACACTAACAGATACAGAACTGACGGGCAGTGGGGTGTGGACATAACAGATACAGGCTGATGGACGGTGAGGTGTGGACATAACAGAAACAGGCTGATGGGCAGTGGGGTGTGGACATAGCAGATACAGGCTGATGGACAGTGAGGTGTGGACATAACGGAGAATACAGGTTGATGGGCAGTGGGGTGTGGACACTGCTAACAGATACAGGCTGATGGGCAGTGGGTCGTGGACACGCCAACGAATACAGGCTGATGGACGGTGGGGTGGACACTTAACAGAAACAGGCTGATGGGCAGTGGGGTGTGGACATAACGGAGATACAGGCTGATGGACGGTGTGAGGTGTGGACATAACAGGTACAGGTTGATGGGCAGTGAGGTGTGGACATAACAGATACAGGCTGATGGACGGTGAAGGTGTGGTTATAACAGATACAGGCTGATGGGCGGTGAGGTGTGGACATAGCAGGGAAACAGGCTGATGGGCAGTGGGGTGTGGACATATGCAGATACAGGCTGATGGACAGTGAGGTGTGGACACATAACAGATACAGGCTGATGGGCGGTGAGGTGTGGACATAACAGATATACAGGTTGATGGACACTGAGAGGGTGTGGACATAACAGAAACAGGCTGATGGGCGGTGGGGTGTGGACTATAACAGAAACAGGTTGATGGGCAGGTGAGGTGGTGGACATAACAGAAACAG